GTAATTTGTATATATTGTGTAAAAAATGTCTATTAACAATCAACAAATTTTAATTATTTATGTCATTAAACAATTTTATTATTATACTGATGGTAAGTTTTGTTTTGTTCTATTTCAAAAAGTCTCCCAAATACCATGTTGTAATAATATTAGTAAACAAAATATCCCTCTTATATCTCCTCTTAGCAATTATTGTAATATGATGAATAGAAGGTACCTATAATAAATTAAAATTATCCGAATCACACCAAATCAATTTGCAATGCACTGCTAGGCAACTTGTCAACAACTGAGATTTATTGCCCAGTCGCGCAGTGCTGCTGTGTTATACGCCGTTTACCCCAGCGGTCATTCTTCTACGGGCGTATACATTTCTACCACGTTTAGTTCGACCAGACATGTATATGGGTATGGCTAAATAAATATGGGAACAAGTTTTTCAAATATTTCAATGCCGAACCTGGTACATACTGCCAACCTCTTGGTTCTTCAATTGAGATGGGAAAGACTAATTTAATGTCACAGAACATAATTTCTAAAAAAAAGTATATAGGTATCCTCTTTTTTATAGTCACTTTATTTCATCCACATTTATTATAATTAAATGAGTAGTAAACAAAGTAAATAGTCATTTTTTTTTAATAGTGATGTACCAATATTAATAAAAAGTGAAGTAAATAATAAAAATACAAATCAGTACAAATGTTTGTTTTGATATCTCAAGAAATAATTATTTTGAAACGAATCTTCTTCTACAAAGAAAACAATAGTTAACAAACAAAACAAAAATACTTAAGCGTAATATACTTTGGTATTTAAAAATTTGTCAAAAAATGCAAAGTAATATAAAACTTTTTACGTTTATATTAGCTTACTTTATACCCTAAACTTTTCTTTATTATGTGAGAAAACAGCGGTTCCCCAAAGTAAAAAGTCGAAATTATCTTGTCAGATTTAGGTAAAATATTGCCTGGTTTTGATTTATGGCGACTTGCGCGATAAATATGTTGGTAAGATAAATGCATGTGTGGAAAATATGTAGAATTAAATGCTCCCACATCGCAAACTGTGGGCAGAACTTTCATTATGCTAAAGAAGGTTTTAATTAATAAAGTTACACAGAATTATTTAGAAACATAAAAAAATATCTAATTTTAATCGAGTTTAATTTTGAAATACGGTATACTCTCAAGTTCATGTGAGGTCAGAAGCTATGCAATCGTAGAACGTAATTTTCAAGTGCTGTGTCGCGACAGTCTTTGAAAGATATTTTGTTTATTGTTTAACACCTATTACAATTCTATGAGTGAAAAACTGATAGAACTTCCTCTACCTCTACCTCCTGGACAAATTCTGTTGTTGAAAATGGTGTGTTTAAATATTTCAGGCAAACAGCCAACGATCACTGAATAAATGCATAAAATAGATTTGATTTTTTAATAGTTATTTATATAAATAATGTATTCAAATTCATATATTTGTCTGTCCTAGATAATTATCTATAATTGTTAGGTCTATAATAGTAACTAAATTTTTATTAAGTGTTAATTACATTCGTGAAGTTTTACCTTCATAAAGAGTCTAATTCATAGCCGATAAAGTGTTATCCAAACATATAAAAAATGTAAGTACTTACCTACATGCCTTTATAGTTGCTTTACGGGTTTAATTTTATGCCATGATCTACGTACGTATAATACAGCGTTCCTAAAACCAAATTACAATTAATACTACTTTTATAACTCAGTACTGATTAATGAAATTTTTACAAAATTATTTGTTAATAACTAATTTATATCTTCGTAAAAAATTAAACGTATGAATCGACAACGGAATAGTCAATATATTTTATCCATAACAACAAAATCTTGACGCGATTTAAAACTGAGAAATCCCTAAATAAATTGGGGTTAGCTGGTCATAAAACTGTTCCTTTAAACGACCATCTCCGTTAGAGAAAGTGTGAATCAGGAACAACGTTATAATCTCATTTTTCAAAAGATATATCAATTACCCGTATGTTGGATGACGTCTGTTGAATGTTTAATGTTTTTTCTAGACGTCTCACCACATAAACATTTATTAAATCTGACTCAAAGACCTCGTGTGCACCTCGGGAAAAGATGATACAAAATTTTTGTGACTTGTCATACCGCGAGGACCAAAAAATTATTTTAATGTTCGAATACTTAATTCAATATATTCTGACGATATTATGGAAATGCCATACCAAGTACATTTATTTAAAATTTGATGATATGATATAATGCATTTTAAAGCATTTGATTAGTCTAATTAAATTATTTACTTTGCAATACCTTTTGTATTTCTCATAACACTTACTGATGTATCATCTCTATTACAAATTTTAGATAATGCTAACTGGCCTCGTTCTATATTCCCACATTCATTCCATTTGTAACAAAACTGTTCAATTGCAACGGAAATTCGATATATTCAGAAAATTTCAATGGATAAAGAACATCTAACTTTACTTTTATGTCAGGTCCAACTGAAATATAGAGAATTTATTATATTTTATCCTGTCCTTCGTTTTGCTACCTATAAAGTCGAAGCTTGCAAATTGTATTTAGATTTAAATGTAACGGAATCTCTCGGCTTGTGCATGTCAAAGTCTTTTCTTGCTCTTGCCTTTTTAAGGATTTTAAGTTTAAAATGAAGTAACTTATACAGATTTAGCGATGTGACTAGTGCAAAAAAATGTGATAAATATATATGGTATATGAATCTATCAGATGTAGGTACCTAAAGCTTCATAACGAACAGCAAAAATTTGAAAATACTTTGAGAAAACATTTTATAATACTATTTTGAGCATTGAAAACAAAAATATGCAAATTAAATTCACACTATCCCTACGGCAGGGTTAATGCTACGTAATAATAAGCTCAAATAACGAGTCTTAGTGCAAAACAATGTGAAAAACCATAGTTTTGTATTTTGTACTACCAAATATATAAATGCCTACATTTATATAGATTGATAGACATCATGCCAAAAAAATATAATATAACTTATCATCAAAGGGTTGGAAACCACCTGCAGACCAGGCTTCCACTTACCCCTTTATATGGCACATTTTTCAAAAATATTTTTTCTTGAATTTTGTTACTGCAGATTTTTGGGGTCGCTGATTACGAATCCGAAAATTCCTGAATAAAAGAAAGCGGATGTAAAAATCGGAAAAGTATTCAAAATTTGAAGAATATAGCTGAAACTTGTCACCAATAACGAAGGTTTCAATTCGGAAATTCTTAAATCCAAAATGGCGGAACCATTATGGCGGATTGAAAAGTACCATAAGTAGAAATTGATATTTACCGTCCAAAGAAACGCGTTACGAGTAAAAATAGGCCAATATCTAAAAATGAGAAACAAAGAATATAAATTCGATTGCAGTCTCTTAAATACACCATACATTTAAATGGGAAATACCACGCACAAAATGGGCAAGATTTTAGAGCCAAAAATATAAATTTGATGATTCAAGTTGCAGAGATGACAGATCTCCTTTATTGTATAGAACTTGAATTGGGGCTGTTATTAACGAATTAGAAAATAAATTTAAGGAGGTTCATTATCGAAATTTTGTTTTAATTTAGTATCTGTTATATTTGTCACAATGTTCAATTTGTCTTTTTAAGTTAAAGTTTTAGAGCTCAGTTTCATAAATGTGCTATATTCGTGTTTAATTCTGACGATTTAAAAGTAACACAAAAGTTGGACGTTTATTACTTATATGGGAATACATGGAATAGCTGTTATGTGTATGATTCATTCATTCAAAGTTTTCAATATGAAGAGTTCTGCTATCATGTCATTTGCTGTTATTCTAATATGTATATGTTAATGTGTTCCCTAAGTAACGATATCCGACACAATACTGAACCAAACTACTACATTTACAAACATGTGTAACATGAGAGAATTACGCAAATGTATTCCTTAAATGAACCAAGGTCATGGTTATGGAAAATCTATAGTCTAGGTCTAGGTAGATAGAAGTTCAAATTTCCAAGTGAAACTGAAATGAGCATTTATGAACGAATCCTGAATGCTTGTCTGACTGTTGTTGGTGTTCAATTTTATAAAATAATATGATCTTAGGTCTATTTAGATGGAGTTACATGTGAAATATATTAATCATATATTTTTTATTTTCATAAGTGGAGCTCAGCAAAACCAAAAAAATGTCAACAAAATTAAATTATAATGTTTGCATTTCCACAAATCGATGTCGTTAGTCAGTCCTTTGTATGTTTTGTAATATTTGAAGAATCAAAACGTTCCATTCCAATATACAACCAATTTTAGACAACTATTTACATTTGGAATAATATAGTAAGAATGTATCAATACCTTGAGGCGGTTTAAGCTTTCAGTATTGATATGCAGTCTACTTCGCATGAAATTCATGAATGATTGATTAAGTAAAACTGACACGTGCACCATCAGCTATTTGCTTAGATGCAGTACTTGGAGACAGATAAGAGGAGACATATTTGAATTAAATAAGGATGGATAATGTCTGATGAAAATGTATTTAGGCAATTCAAAGTTCCAAATTTTATTTCGTTTGTCAATCAAGTTTACAATAGAAGTAATGAAAAATAATATATATGATAAACTGTAAACAATTTACAATCATGTACAATTGAAAAAACACCCCACTTCTTGTTGCTATGTTATTTACCTTACAACTTCAGTTTTGTTATAAAGACAACGATTTTTTCAAATTCCCTCTCTCTCTATCGTATTTTTTTATATTTAACTCACACAGAGAAAACTGTCATGGAAATTCACAAAATTGTTCCTAAAATCTTGATTGGAATAAATTGTATCAAACTTTCATTCAATATTGTTTGAAAATTTGAGAAAATCTCAAGTCTGCATCTAAAAAAAATGTAGAAGGTCGTCCTGGTTCCTAATGAACCGCACTGTATATTAACAGAAACTATTTTGCTTCAGATTGTTCAATGATGATCATCATCCCGATCATCTCCATCCTCCTCATACAGTCGTCGCTCGCGTTCCTAGAAGACTCCTATCCAGAAACGTTCGACTCTAATACGTACCCTGAGGACCTGTTCGACAACGACAACGACATTGAAGTACAAAGACGTAGCAACCACTTTCTACGATTCGGCAGAAACAACGGCAAATATGAAAACAACGAGGTAGGAAACGACGACTACGAAGATTTCGCTAGGCCCACCAGGTCCGGAAGGATCGAAAAGAACGACCACTTCATCAGGTTTGGACGAGGAAAACATCAGGAATTCTTGAGATTCGGCAGGGACCCCCAAAGGCGCGACAAGTCTGCCTACCTTAGATTCGGTAAGAACGAAATGCCAATATTTAAAGAGTATAGACAGTATTTTTTTTTCTAAAGAATAGCAGTGATTGTTTTAGTTTTTCTTCAACTGAAATGCACATTTTTTTTTGTTCTTTCAGGAAGGAGCGTTTCTGATGAAGAAAAATCAAAGAAAAGAAGCAAACGCGACACCTTCTCCGATGAAGCAGACAAACGCAGCGACTCTTTCTTGAGATTCGGCCGTAACTCGAACTTCATGAGGTTTGGACGTGATCCAACAAACTACCTAGCGAACCCTGGCAACATGCTATCGACACTGGAACTTCTTAAAATGCAAGAACAAACTTTAGCAAACGTACTTGCTCAACTGATGCTTCACAAGAAAGAAGAAAATAAGCCTTGCACAAGGGCGGCATAAAGTCGAATCATTTACCATTTACCTAAACCACTTAGCATGTAGTAGTAGTTTTATAAGAAAAGGTCGAATATTCAATGGTTTTTACAATTAAGGGCGATTTTTTTTTAACTTATTTCATCAGTAACGTGCATTGTTTAATAGATAATTTTAAAGCAATATTCTAAAGAAATTGTGTCAAAATGAAACTATATTACTAAGTGGTTCTGTGGTCTTATGAGTAAATATGTTAAACTGGTTTCCAAAAATTGTCTGTGGCTGGAAAACTTCAATAAAACACTCGTAAACAGTATTATGTATTTCTCTTATAAAAGTGGAATTTTATTAATAATTTATTCATTGTAAATATATATTTAACCTGTTGTTGTAAATTGGCACTTAAATAAAATGATACCTTTCTAAATTCAGACACTAGTTCTTTCGAAAACTATACACTTATCCTGCAGGTATTAAATATGAAAGTGAGATCAAACTACCGATATAACAATAATCGAAAATGCAGTTTGCATGTTTGGTATTTTATGAACTGCTAAGAGATGATTTCAGTACAATACTATTAAACAATATACCTATATAAAATAAATGATTGGAAATCTTACCACACAAGGAATAGTGCAGATATAGATATAGATATGAATATTGGCAGGTTCTTGTTGTCACTGTATATTTACACAGATGATTCATTAATAATTGTACATACGCTAACTGGATAATCCTGGACTGAAAATATGACAAATAGACACATAATTCTTAGATAAAATATGGCTCCTTACGGAGTTACAGGGTGTTTTATTTAAAAAAATTTAAATGAGTTTTGCCCATTATTTTAACCCTGTTTGATATTTCTCTATCATACTTGTTATAAAGTTTAGATACTTTAGAACATATTAAAAATGCTACAAAATCGTTCATGGGTACTACCAGAGGCGTACGACAGGAGTAGAATGGCAGTTTCCCATTCCTAACTTCTACGCCACTGGCGGAATTTTTATTTTGGCACAATTTTTCAATTCTTCAATACTTTCTATGCAATTAATCTACTATTCCTTCATTCCTTCAAGTCATTATTTCTCGAGATTTTTAAAGTTAAAAATAGGGCTGCACAATCATTTTTATTTTATTATGTAATTTAGTTGTCATATTACTACTATGTAAGTTGGTGTCTTCTGTCATGGGATTGCAATGCATTAGTTGAATTACAGTTGAGTACAGTATTAGTAATGGGCAAAAATATTCAGATAGAGTATGTACAATTACTAATGAATCACCCTATATAGTGTGGTCCTTAATTAATGGGACACAGAGCAAGAGTATGGATCCGAATATTGACAGACAATGTTTATTTGGATAGTAGACGCTACTAAAACAACTATTTTAACGTCGCTACTTGTGCTGGGCTTGATGTTTGTATACTCCCTAATCTTTTCCTTTAAATATATGGTTATTTCAACTAAATGATCGTATTTCTTGGTGGTTTTTTTAATAAATCTGGTGACGATCACCATCATAGTAAAAATCATAGTAACAAGTTAACGACTCATTACCAGTAACTCAACAAAATCATAATTTTTTGACCAACTAGCTCACAAAAGTAAACAGAAGATAAAACATTTTTCATTTAAAAATTTGCATAAATGAAAGTTCTGACCAAGTAGATTCTAACAAAAGCATCTAGGTAGATCGTATACCATTTTTTCTTAGAAGTTATGAAGAAATATGTATGTTCAAAGTTGAAATTGCTAAAAAATAAAAGAAGTTAGAAATTGACACATCCTATATGCTACATTAAAATATCGATCATATCGCGTATTGTCCAGAAAAATCGTTGTCTATCACTTTTTAGGGCATTATCTTAAGAACTACCTTAGTTTCAGCAGAAAATCCAAATAAAAATGTTGCCTTAACTGCCTCTTTATATAATGCAAATATGTGAATTTTTGGACTAAGGTAAGTTTAGTTAAATTGTAATTATTGTATTTATTTTTCTTTTTGAGAAATCTTTATTTTGAAAAATACCTCTTATTATTGAACATACAAATTAACTTTTGTGTTATATATAATGAAAATAAATCGTAAAAAGCCCTTAAAAATGAGCCATATTTTGTTAAATTCCGATAAGGCAGAATATCCCCGAAAACAACAGTATATAAAACCTTGGGTTATATTCTTTTTAAAGACAATTATTCATGAGAATAAGGGGGAGGTGACACCTATTACAGTAATTTTAAATCACCACATCGTATGGGAATTATCTGGCATAAACCGGTTTGCTTCAAGGCAAACTTTTAATTTTTCCTAGTTTCTATGTGAATTTCCCGTGACTTCCTCCGAATTCCCCAACATCCCTATGAATTCTCCTTAGTTCTCTATAAATTTCCTCAATTTCACCTCGAACAAATTTTCATAAATTTATGTATCTTTTACACCACAATTTACTCGCAATTCATCTCTTTTTTAAAGATCACAAGAAAAAATTTCAATTCCGTAAGTCCGATTTGCTATGCTGTGTATCTCCATAAAAACTCTCCTTCAAAAAATTTCAAAAAGTCTTGATTAATCTGTAAACTCTGAGTAATTATTTTATAATAAAATCAAACACAATAAAACAAAATTATGTTATTTATATTTTCACATAAACATAAACATTCAATAGTCACACACTGTCCAAACTGTATGAGCATATATAAAAGTATAAAAAATAGTGACAGAAATTGTATAAAAATATGTATTATGTGCAAATTTTAAATATTGTAGGGTGACATATACTTCTTGTTGCTATTTAGATATTCAGAGAATAAATTATGGAATGAAAGTATATATCACCTTATATATATATGCACAAAACAAAAAATATATATTTGTAACCTAAGTATAAATCATCCTACCAAACACACCACCATACATTTTGAGCTGTTTTGGCGATGTTTTAAATCAGGTACGTCGTAATATTGCAAGAGATCTATACCTACAATAATGGTACAACTGTCAATAATTTATTAATGGTTGTTACAGATAAAATAGATTAGTTCAATTTTTTTAAATTATTCTTTATTTCCGTTGCATGATTTTGAACTCTCGTCGAAAAATGAAATTCCCGGAATACATAAACTTGATGATTATTCTATTAACTTAAACAGGGCACAGGAAAAGATCATTCCAAATATCTGAAAATTGACATTATTAGAAATTACATTGTAAAAAAAAACAGAAATTCTGACTTACCATTATCAAAGAGAGAACAATTCCGGAAGTTCCGATAACAACGGCATGGGTCTTGACAAATTCAGTGGTAACATTTAGACATCCTCTTGTATTCATTGTGAAGGAATTATTTTCTACCAGAGATTGACATTTCAATCTTTCTCCGGTTCTAGTTAACTTGCAGCAAGATTCGGGTAGTCTATTCTGCCAGTCTTTGTGACTGTATATACCACAGCATTCCAATCTGAAAAAAAATCAAATGAAAAATGTGATGAGTAACAGTGTTCAGGAAATTATCAAACTCGATGGTATGAGCCTACTGTGAGGATACAAAAAATTTAAATAAAATTTGGAACACATGATGTTAAATGGAATGAGATAAGCGAAAGTATTATCTTTGGGATTTGACAGAGACGACTAATGACGTCAATGAAGCTCATCCCATTTAATACCACTTGTCCCAAATTTTAGTTAAATTTTTTATATCCTCACAGTAGGCCCATACTAACGGGTTTGAGACACCTGTACAAAAAAGTACCGAAGTATGAAATAAATAAAACCAAAATTGTTCCAAATTATCAAAAAAGTCCATTACAATTGACAACCATTATTGATGATTACCTTATAATGAAAATAGTTAAAAACTTTTGAATTTGTAAAACATTGTAAATACATTTGTTTCAGATCGGTAACAAAATATTTTTAATGAAAAATTTCCTAAAAGAATTAAATCGAGAATCATAAAAAATACGTAGGTAACCTATTTTGCCTGACAGTAGCTAGACTAAAACTGAGAATGAAAAAAGAATCAGTTCAGCGTAAACGATTCTTTAATGTTTTTAGGCAGATAACACCCTCATCTCGTTGACAGGCAGTTAACGTGAAATGTACAGTGAAAAAGAGAGATAAATTTACATACATGAATGTAAAATTACAAGATTTGTTTTACATATCACACAAGTCATAACATTTCGAGCTTACACTATGTATCTAGTTTTACAATGAAATAAGAAGAATAACCTAAAAAATGTAAGCTTTAAAAACAATACTAAATGTTTTCAGTGTGACTTAAATCCAGCACTAGAAAAAACAACTATTTTTAATTTGCATGCTACTAAAATATGTTTGTTGTTGTTATAAAAAGTTTTGTATTTGTAAACAAAAAATATTGATTCAAACAATTGACTACATATGTTTTAATAGGCAAATGAAGGATTGGAATTATTATACAAAATATTAATTAGCGGACAAATACATTTGTATTTATATTAAATTTACCTAAAATGGAGGTCAACGTATCCAAGTTATTGTTTCAGTTTGAAACGCCCACAAAAAGATTCAGTGTCAGATGGAAATAAAGCGGCAACATATGCATTCCACATTATTTTGCCTCATAAATGTACGTAATACTATTCAGGGACTTAATTCCATTACATCTATATACCGTATGTGAAATAATTGCAAACAAAGGGACGAAAATTAGTTTTCTAAGTAAACTTTGACGAGTTCTACCATAAACAATACATAAAAGGGTACGAATGCTTTTTAACTAAAATTTTACCTTGTCTGGGTTATATCCCACGCCTCAGTTATTGGCTTATAATTCCCATAGTCACGTAAGGATCCTTCCATTCCTATGCGTAGTGTAGTTTCGACCTTCCCTCGGAATACATAACCCAGGATCCCACCAACCAGCATTGTTACAAAGATGAGGAATAATGAAATGAAATACTAGAAGTAAAAAAGTCAAATATGTGTTGAGTGTCATTTCGCAGTGTCTCTATTTCCTTATACGCGAAGGGAGTACGAGAAAATAAGCAATTAAAGAAACTCGTTACTAGGTATCACATAATAAAACCCCCGCAAATTATAACTAACGTTTTTCTCGCAATATAAAGATATACGTACAATGTAATATTACATTTATACAATTTTGCTACTACTGAAAACGCATTTACTGCAAAATTTCTTCATCTTCACTTTTTCAAATGGCCCGGGACACTAAATTCTATAGGATTTAAACTGAATATTAGAGAAACTGTGATACAGTGCAACGATCTGAATCTGCTTCATGTAAATATTGCCTTGCTTTTACATTAAAAATTTTATTTAACCAATCAGCGATCGGAAAATTGTGAAAACGCATCTAATATTTTACTTACAATAACCAACATACATCTCACTTCTTTGACTGATCCCAAACATCCCAGACATGAAATAAGGACAACAAGAAGTCCAGTAGCAATCAGTACGTAAACTGCTCCAGCATACAAGTTTGTGCCAAGGAGATCGTTGGCAAATGATTTATCAACAACTGTCCATATGCCCAAAGCCACTACAATAACTCCGCCCAACTAAAAACGCGAAAATAAATGAATAAAACTGGAACATAGCTCATATAACATGTGTACGTAGATAGATTAGAAGCAAAAAGTATATGTACTTACGAATATTATGAGATTAACGACAAATAGACTGTATTTCATAAAATTTCCACAACCATCCTTCTGTCCACCCCACCCCATGTTTCCTCTGGATCTAAAACAAAGTCAATACACTTAACAGTATTAGAAAATATCATGTACTTTTTTTTATTTTGTATTTTCTATTACTTCAAAACTAAGCCATAATAAAGCCATAAAGCGACAATAAACTGTATTTTATAAACTTTCTACATCGCTGCTTCTATCTGTTTCAGGTTCTAAATGTTTCATTGTAAAATGGATTTATCTGGACTTAATAATCAAATCCAAAGCTACACAAAAGTTCGATCATTTACATTGTTCTTGTTCTTAATTTTCATTAACAAAGTTGCATTTTCGCAAGGATTATAAAAATATATTATAAAAGTGAATAAAAAAATTGGTGTACCTAGACGACACTAATGCAGCGTATTGTGGAATGTACATCTTAGATATACTATACAAGACCCAAAATTCTTAGCATACACATCCATTTCATTTTTGAAAAAAAAATGTAGAATAGCAATACGTTAATTTTGGTTAAAACTAGACTATCCTTAAAAATCTACACTTATCTCTCATCCACAACATATTTCACGTATTAGCCTTTTTTTTGTGCAGTTGCTGATGACTGTACCTTTTACATCGTGTTTCATTTCATGCAGATATTGGAAATTTGTATATTTTTCATTCATTATCCATGACAATCACTATACTAGGTTCAATGTAAAGAAAAATATATGCATGGAATATTAATGCTACCTATTTAATTAATTATACAATTAGCTCAAATTTAATGAATACCTAGATATAAGTTAAATATTTACAAAGAAATAAACGTAAAATATTTTTTTAAGCCTCAACACATGTATCTCGAAAACCATTGGCTTTAGACCTTTGTTGGCTGAGGATTTTTAATATAAAACAGTCCAGGGGACATCCCCCTGATGTTATGCCATGGACTTAAAGAGCATCCTGTATATTTTAAACGCTTAGTCATATTACAATACCTACTAATAAATTTAGTTTTATAAAAGTATATATTAATATAAAGATAATAAAATAGGAACTAGAAAAGCATATATACAACTTACCACCTAAATATCTAAATCTTATTTTATTAAAACTAACTGCACCAGAGTTTACAAATTCACAAGTACATCAAAACCAACATTTCAAACACATGGTAATTTATCACAATATTGTTTTCGTTATAGTGCAATAATCCTAAAATTGCGTGATTCACACAATAACATTAGCTTCGCAATACGTAGTATAACGTAATGTATGTATGTGCGTTTGATATAAACTGATTCACAGTTTGCAAGGCTTCACATATTTTATCACAAAACTGTATGTAAAGAGTTGAGGCTACTTTCACTTGTTCTACTTAAGCCGTACCTCATGGTGTGTACGATGTAGGAATACCTAAATAAACAGTTAATTTAACAATTAAGTGAATTAGTTTAGTTGAGTGAATATTAAGAAGACCTCAGTTACTATTGCTTTTAATACTGAAGTAAATAACTCTTTTGTAGTCAACAAAATTAGATCGATTTTTGAATAAACTACCTTAAAATTGTGAAAGAATTTTTATTTGTTGCATTGAAAAGAATTAGTCTTATTCTGAAAAATAAAAGTTCAGTATTCGGGCTTACAACTCACAGAAGGGTATTGATTGAAGCTTTATCATTTATTTTCCATTTTATGTTCAATAACCTTAAAAATCAATCAAATTGAAGAGATCTGTTGTTGGCAATGAACATGTGATATTGTCACCAAAAATATATATTAAATATTCATACTCGAACAAATAACAATTATTTCAGTTATAGTACGATTTAAACTGAAAAATTAAAATATGCTAATATAATTAATACTTGTAGAATAATTACGTATTTTTTTGAATTTCTGCAATAAAGTTTTTTATAAATATATTTTTCGTTTAATTTGTAACCATTTTAAAAAATGCTAAAGGCCATTGACATTTATTTTACACAAATAGTTCCAACAGTGGTCATAAAATTTAAATTATTTTCACTAGCATAAAAATCACAGAACGAAAAATGTTATAAATTTCACACACTATACAACTATAATAACAATTCTTTAATGGTATACTTTTGCCGGAATATATAGTGACGTTTTTGCATATCGAAACCGTAAACAAAAATGTGTATTTAATTGAAATTGTTTCATATACAGCGTGTTCCACCTAAGAGGGATTCTTCTGTATCTCTGTAACTGTCAAAAAATATAAATAAAAATTTAAAAAATTTTAAAAATTTATAAATAAAAAAATTGTTTTTAAAAGTTAACTGCATTTTTGAATTCCTTGTTAATATTAGGTAGAGTTTATTAAATGTGCATGGTGTTTGAAACTTACCGTTTTCGAGATAATCAGTTTAGATGCTATGTAGCCTCATTGAGAAAGTTGAAATTATATTATATTGATTATACAGGGTGTTCCATTTAAAATAAGAAAGTTATGTATCGCCCACGCGAAATGAAACACCCTGTAAAGCTAAAAATATTTTCTTTACATGGCCCACATGATTCCAGACAACTTTTATTAAAACCATTTTTTCATAAGTTTGACAGTTACAGAGTTACAGAAGAATCCCTCTTAGGTGGAACACCCTGTATATGCTATGGATCAGGTATAATACAACCTTACCAATTTTTATAGTAGCAGACATAGGCTAAATCTGTGGTGAATCCGTGTATCGTTCTATGCTCACAAAACACAATGCTACTGATTGCCATAAAAACACGTGCCATACACTCGACCAAGCAAAGCTCCAAACTCACTCACGCACGGACAAATGACAATGCACGGCTAACGCCCCTCAGCAAAAAACCTGGATTTTTCACCGACACGCCAGACCTACAGGGCAGGCATTAGAGTGCCGCTAGACGCGTATCGAATAAATTGATTGATGCGAAGTTTCAGACCAGAGGTAGACATGTACATGTTATTGTACAATGACGTGCATAGTGGAATTAATCACACTAATTCTTGGATAATTTTTATTGGTATTGACAACTGCACAACGTATTTTTTCGAATGCAAAATAGAATATGTAATTATTTTGAAATAATTATTCGGTAAATTAACCCGTATCGGAAAACAATATTATTTAGCAGTTATTAAAATCTTGATGGAAGGATAAGCTACTGAATTTCTCAGATTATCGTTAATTATGTTTTCTGATTGCTTCCGAGCTTCACTGAATATTTCGTAAAAATTTCATAAACTTTACAGCTGAAACTACCTACTCTATATTAAAATGAAATATTTATTATGGGGAAAGCACGCTGTGTTCCTTTCAAATTTGTAAAAATATTATAAATGATGTAAGAAAGTACATACAACATAATAGTATTGTTATGATCTAACATGCTGCAAAATATGTATTTCCTGAAATGAAGTGACATAGATACAAAGTAAACTAAATAAATATTATTACTCAATTTTCCAAATATTATGTGTTTTCGACTGTATATATAATCAAGAAAAAGAACTTTGAATTGCTGACTTACTACTATATTTATTTGCTTCTTATTAATATTTGTAAAAAACGTACCTGCAAGCGCATTTAAAACTCGGAATCACTTCATTCTAATTATTTGACTAACAAGTAGCTAACAACTACTTAAAATTCTTGGTATATGATATGCGTAATAATTAAAATCATTTGCAAACCGGAATCTAAAGTAACTTAAGCCATAGATTAAACCAACTCACCAATTCCTAAGACCCACAAAATTACATAAACACTATTTCAATAAGGTACCAGATTGTTCCACTTAAGTAACGTGAATATTCTAGGTTAGTTTTAAGTATGATTAAAGTTTGTTTACAGTCCACGCCAAATAAGTAAATTCCGGTTTAACTCACAACAGTGCGCGTTCACCTGCTCTTTGTTCGATAAATAGCGGCTCGTGTAGTTCATAGCGACGCCGTGTTAGTCCGTTACACGATACAACGTAGGGAGGACAGGTTGTTAGGATGACGTCATGCAAAACGCGCTGTGTGACGAAATTCGTGGCTCATGCATATCGATAAAACATTTCTGTAGAATAAAAATCGCAGAAAAAGCCCACATGGTATATACATAGTTATTAAAAATGATGACATTAGCTTCAAATGCCGATTTAACTCGTTTGAAACTGGCAACAGATACTATCGCTTTAAAAGAACTGTTAATAGAATACCCTATACATTTGTAACTGTGGCTGCTGAGGGCGCTTTGCCCCCGAGCTCCCAAAGAAGCTGTCAATAAATTGAAAGCATTAATAGAGGTGAAAAAGCACTACTTTTACCCAAAATATGAAAGAAATAGTTTATGCGACTAAAATATACACACGGGAATAACTGACAAATAAAGCTGAAAGCGCACCAGCAAGTCTCTGAACCAATTTTACTACAGGAATTGTGAAAATACGTGTTCATTCTTCTATAAGAAATATACAGGGTATGGCGTGTATAATCTATAAAAATTAATTAATAGTAATTACTATTAATTATTATAATAAGAAAATATCAGTTTTTTTTTAAATATCTATTTTTCTTAGTTTGTACTCTTGCATTGAAAAATTGCCCAAAAATTGAGAAGTATCTTTCTATCTTTCAACGATTTGTTTACTCGGCTGGTCTACAGCACGTAACTCATCGTACAACACACGGACAGGACCGTTCCAGAGAAAATATTTTGCTCCATAATTGAACTTTAATTTACGAAAAAAAAAACGCGAAAATAGAACTTATTCGTATAAGACTTTTCTATTACAAATATCATTAGGAAGCTGTAGTTTAATTTTTATAGATTATACACGCCCTGTAGATAGCAGTTTTAGCTCTAGATACAAATTCTGGCTAATAAAATACCAACAATTTATAGAGTTCTTTTTTATTTATTCTCTCTTTTTCTATTTTTTCTCATGTATAATAATTTCATTGATTATTTCACCTGAACCACCTGCCAACGTCGTTGCTAGGTAAAACAACAATACAATTATTAAGACTTTCATGTTGCGATGGTCGAAGCTTATTTTTACTGAATTCAAGAGTTAAAATGACCGATTTTGCAAAAAAGGCGTATATATCCGTTTCAGGTGAGTAGTTTTTAATGTATAACTACTCCTAACGATAACAATTGAACAGATATTGATAAAATAAATAAAGTATAGTTCGATTTTTATAAGAATAGCGATAGCGATAAGACATAGGTCTTATTGATATGTAAATTATTTTATTGCTATGGTAGGTCTTCTTATAATAGGCAACTTTAATAAAGACGACGTCCATTTTGTCATCAGTCGTCACTGTCACAATCTCTTTTGACGGATACATGATCTCAAAAAACATTTACCTACGCAAAAATTAAGGAGAATAATATTTGCATTTACGTTACTATTGGAACCTACACGAAGAGATCTGTTTTGTCTGTCCAGTTATATGTTCAATATATCATTCTACCAAAATAATAAAAATAGTTAATTAATTTACTGTATTACTTACAAATTTTTAACTGTTTCGTATGTCCTTTTCCTTACTTATCGATATATTTTCCTTATTTCATTACTATCAATCATTTATCTAAAGTTAGGTGCTATAGAGTTGAATTTAACATATTTACTTTTTGAGGTTGTCATTTGGGTACCACGTTTTTGGAAGACAACTGGGACAAAGACATAATAGGAATCGATGCACTGCAAGCATTTTTGGAATCGGAAAAGGTGCTCTTACTCTACGCTATTATTGAAGTTATAGACGATAACAAAAGGCTACGGTTTTTTAGAACGGTAAAAAAAATTTAACTGTGAATCATTTATACTGATGCTATTATGTTTTAGCCACCAAGCAGTTATGATCAAATTGTAATTTTCTCCAAAAAGAAACCGTGCGTTCCCTCGGACGATAATTTATTCTCCTTCGTCCAGATAACGTCTCTGTGTGAACCTCCAACTTTGTCTTTGTACCAAAGTTTGAACCAAATTTTTGCTCCATTCATACCAAAGGTAAAAACAAATAGTAAATGATGTGTTGTTAACTGCACCATACATTTTTGTTTAAAAATAGATATCATAAAATGGATTACTTGTTAATACTTGTATGCATCTACTTTCAGAAGGACCATGAAAGCGTTTACCGCCATATAGCTAATTTGCAAAATGATCTACGATCCATTATATTTTCCGACAGTCCTGAAAATATTCTGAATCAGGCTGATCAAACTTCTTTAACTGGTACGTATTTTTTTGTTTTGTATTACCTGTATGTCTGATGTGTTTAGATATAAGCCTATAAATTAAAATATGCATGGTATTCCATCAATCGCCATCATCATCTCAAATGGTGAGGGATTTGCTAGATGATCAAAGTAAAACATCAAATATGTATTCATTAACACCATAAACATTAAATGAAAAAACTTTTTCAGTAGTCGCAAGCTTAGAGCATGAAGTGTTTTATTGGGAAACCCTTACATCAACCTCAAAAAAAGACAGGATTACAAGAACAGCTTGTACTTCTTTCAGAGATATCCTAGCACAGATTGCTAGTGATTTCAGGTAACCAATGTTGTGCTCAATAAAATTAATATACAGTTATGTATGTTTAGAAATACCTAAAATTATTTTTAGTATTATTGATGGCCTGCCAATAAACGATGTTGAAGAATTGCTAGAGAAAGCCCATAACATACTGGATGACTTATGGCGACACGAACCACCTTACCCAAAAGACAGAATTAAGCATATTATGGATATTATAGGTACCTGTCAATTTTTGTATAAAAAAATTGTGTCACTCAACAATGAAGGTTTTTTTTAATATTTCGTTCTTGTAAAATCAAAAATACTACTAATAATAGTATAATAACTTGCTTAGCTGCCGATGTTGGAAAATTTACTATTGTACATTTAAAGAAATACGATGTCTGGAGCTCAGACTTTAACGAAGTAGCAGATCTTCTCCTGCAACACATTTCTTTGGGCGAAAAGTGGTTGAATACATGCAAGCAACTAACGGAAATATTTTGGCCAAATTATGGGGTAAATCCTTGGAAAGAAGAAATATACCAACCTAAAGAGTTGATAGAGTTTGTGGAATTACTTAAAAAGGTACATACATAGGATACATATGTTTTTTTTTTCAATGCTGCAACAAACTATACATATATCATGTATCCTTTACAATAACTACAAATTGCAGATAGGAGGCTAACAATAGTTGTATCATAAGATTTTGAAATCGTTTTAGATTTTAAAAGTAAGAACTCTTCACAAACAACTTGTACGTCTTTTAACACCACAAGAGCAAGATGAATTGAAGACTAAACACATGTTTCAACCATTCATCGGTAAGCAGACAAAATATTTTGAAAAATAACACATTAAATGACGTTCTGGAACCCTTTACACCAATTATTTAGTAAGAGCAAATGTTTTTTTAGAAAAGTCATACCAGTTTCAAGTATACTGATAAAAATTTTATACTAAAATTTCAGATATCGACATCTTTTATTACGGTGAGGACGTCCAACATTCTTTATTAAAAGCCCAAAAGCAATTTGAATATCTAATACAACCAGCAGAACGACGTGTTGCGATAAAACTGAAGAAGCAGTTGTCATCAATGAATGCGAACACACGACAGGTAAATAGAGAAAAAGTAATCATCATTTATAACACGTTTATAAAATTCTACTATTGTTATAGCTTATTTACGAATACTCCCGTTATTCCGAGCTGATAAGTCGACCCGTTTTGAAACAGGAACTGTTATCTGAAAGACAGCATTTATTGACATCTATGTACGACTATATTAAACAAATTCAGACTCAGTCAACTTCGGAAAATACAATTTCTACTAGACATGGAACACCTGAGGTTATAAAAGACATAATAATGATTAGACAATTGGAAGCAAAGGCGAGCGAAATCAAAAACGTCTCGCAAAAGTTGCTGGAAGATTTGCAAGGCTTCCAAAACTTGAACCAAATTGTTCTGGAACTTATTAAAGAATTGAAGGACCAGCACAATGAACTATTTGAAGCATGGAGCAGTGAAATAATATCCTTCATTAACGACAATACATTAAGGTAAAAAATTGAAGCTAACAAAGGAAATTATTTCAATGAAATACCCGTTCTTTCAGCTTGAGAGAATCGGATCCCGTGGTACAATTTTCAAAACAAAAATTAATGAAAGTAAACTATTCCCCGCGACTAGTAACGCTAATATCTGAGGTAAGGCAACTTAAGGCCATGGGATATCACATACCGAGTGTTATAGAACAAACTAGTGACCATGCAAAAAAATTCATGAAGTATGCTCGACTCCTGGAACAGGTAATTTACAATTTTCTTTTACTGAATCGTACTAAACGTTTTTTTCAGATAGCAAATTTTCATAATACTATTGGCGACAGAATGATTACTTCCCAAAAACCAATGATGTTGGCCAGCGCATTAGAGTTGTCAAAACACGTGCAAGACCAAGAAGTGGTGTCTTGGGGCCAAGAAAAGTCAGTTGAAATATATGTGGAGTCTTTAAAAAGAGCGGTGGAGAAATTGTCTAAAGAAAACAATCTGCTCACAACATATCACCTGCAAATTATGGAAAAGGTAAGACAAGAACATTTAACTGTGAGTGTAGAGGTTTTGATCATTTTTCATATACAGATTAGAGATTTAGCAGACGTCGATCTCATCAAAGATTATAGCAAATGGAAGGACAATGTAAAATATATACGAAACATCATGACACAAGTAGAAGATAAGGGTTTTAAAAACGTGCACACTTGGAAGAACGATCTGGATAAGAAATTAGCAGAGGTCTTAGAAAAGCAATACATCGAAAGTTTAGATACCCTTCACTTATATTTGCCGGAGATCCACATTGACTTGGTTTATAGAAGTTCAAAGTTGGAGTACCTCCCAAACGAGGAAACTTTAAGAAAATTATACGACCAACAGCTTAAGAAGTTTTTAAATATACCCAAGAACTTCAGAGGTGTTTCTGACGTGCCTGAGAATAACATATTTGAAGGAATCATAGAAAGGTATAATGACAGTAACATCTAACTCTACTGTAACAATGCGTTTATTCATGTTTTTAGAAACTCTACTATTTTGGATAACGCCTCTAAACATACCGAAAATCTATTTGAACAGCTTCAAGCTGTCATGAAACACTGGCAGTCGTGGTTGCAATTAGAAGCTCTAGACACCAACAAATTAACAACTTGGCAGCATTGGGATTTACATTTTAGAGCATCGAAAACATTCGGACAAGAAATAGCGAAGTTGCCAAGGTAAAAGGCACTTTGGTTTGCAATATAACATATTATTTCGTTAAAATTATTTTCAACAAGCTTTCTTTTCCAGTACCGAAGAAAGAGTTGGATGCTTTCTAATTGGCTTGTCCAGATTACGTTCTGATCTTGAATCTCATAACAGAAGTTACTGGGACCAGTTAGTTTTTTCTCTTAAAGACTCTATAGCACAAGACATCGTGAAATTGCAAAATTATGTAGACCCCTCTACTGCAGCTTTAACCAGACAACCAGTTACCATGGAAGAAGTGGGAGAATCTGGAATCACCCATGCGAATATACTGAAACAAGCACCTGAGGTATATTCTCGAAAGTGTTCCTTCAACAAACCTTTCCAACATAAAATTTGTACATTTGTATGTACAAATGTACAGATAATTCCTTCTTAATTAATCTTCAAAGAAAAGTACTAATGTTTCCTTTTATTTGTGGATTTTAGATGGAAGAAACTTTTAATGAAATGGTTAAGAAGTCGCAGATTCTGGCAAGTTGGTCAAGAGAACAGGTCGATGCAGTTAATAGACTGAAAGGTGCCTGGGAACGTCTCCAAAGCTTACTTGAGAACCACCAACATATTATTGCGAAACAAGTAGGTTATCTCTTCCACATAGTTAAATTATTTCATGCAGCTTATTTAAGATGGAGACGATCAAAACCACACTCAATATCGAAAAGGAAAATCTAGTTAAAGAAATAGAACGATTCTCTGCCAAATGGGAGCAAGTTAAACCAAGACCCCATTCTGGTGAAATTATCGACAGCAGCATGATCAATCTTCATAATCAGTTGCTTGAAATCAAGGAAAAAAGGAATGAGTGGTCGGCAATTATCGAGAAAAAGAATAAATTAATGTAATATGTCCAGAAACTTACTTCTACTTGTTCATTATCAAATGAGTTGATTTTTAGATCGGATTACAATAAATTCAGCATAGATGCTCCAAACTTAGATGTAATTGAGGAAATTGAAGCAGATGTTATTAAAGAGGAACAATCTTGGGTGATTTTTGAGCAGTTCTATACAGGTCAGTCAAAGAAATAATACGACTACAAAGAATATTATTTAAAAAAACCCAACATAATAACACTGAAAACTTGCCAAAACAGTTTCAAATATAACACAAAATAATGATAATAGTAGAAAGTGCATTGCTATTTATTGATTTTAGCACTGGAAGAGTCTACTAATGAGTTCTGGATAGTGTTCAGGAAAAAGTTATATATTTTTGACGATTTCCTAAAATCGTGGCACAAAAAACTAAATGAAATGGAAATCAGTCCTTTGGTAACGAGAATTCTGCATGAAATTCATAAATATCAGGTGGAGTTTTGCTTCAGTAAATACAGTTATTTTCATTTAATTCTATTTCAGGGTATTGCACCGTTATTAAAATATGTTAGAGGTGAAGATTTCTCCGAAAAACATTGGTTGGACACTTTTAACCTTCTGGGAATGGAAGTCAAGCCAGTTGATCAGTTAGTTTTGAAAGATTTTCTTGCAGTTTCAGACAAAATAGAGAGTGCTACAAAGGATTTGCAGGTACGACAAATGATAAATTTATAAAATCTGAAGTTGTATACATTTTTGTGAATGTTTAATATATCATTAAGAAAATACTTGGAAATTTTAGACGATTTCTAAGAAAGCAGCAAGTGAAATCGTGGTAAGACAAGCTTTAGCAGAATTAGATCAATGGGACGTACAGGCAAGGTTTGTCCTGAATCCGCATAAAGACTCGCGCGACAAAGATATTCTCTTGGTAAAGGACTTCAAAGAAGTTTTAAATAAGGTAAATTGTTTATTGTTAAATTTTATATGCACTGCACTATTTTATTCCTTTTAGATTGGAGATAATCAGAGTCTATTGCAATCGGTAAAGAACTCAGCAGATTACGAATCTTTTGCCGAAAAGGCAAACATATGGGAAAATAAATTAGGCGACTTGGATCATTATCTTACTTCACTAGCGCAAGTTCAAAGAAAGTTAGTAGATAAATATATTGTTATCTCAAACACTGTAACAAAATAAAAACCAATTTTGTTAATTTTCAGATGGGTATATTTGGAACCAATTTTTGGTAGCGGTACGCTGTCTCAAGAGAAGAGCAGATTCGACAGAATAGACAGGGACTTCCGTCACATTTTAAACTTCGTAGAAAAAGACCTACGCGTTGCTGCTCTTTGTAGATATCCTAATCTAAGGTCACTTTTGGAGAGTTTGCTTGACCAGTTGTCGAGATGTCAAAATAGCTTGGATAACTTTTTAAAGGCAAATATCATTTTAGAATCTGAAAATTTATATAATCATACATTCATTTGCAGGAAAAACGGGAAAAGTTTCCACGTTTCCTCTTCCTGAGTGACGATGATTTGTTGGAAGTGATTGGTCAGTCCTCTAAGGAACAAGTAATACAATCGCATATGAAAAAGATATTCGCTGGGATACACAGTGTTCGCTTGGATCAAAATGGCCACAACATCATAGCTATGTGCTCCCTACAAGGGGAAGTGGTGGAATTGGTAAATTACGTGGCTATACAAAAACCAGTGGAGGTAATAAATGGAAAAGACTATACTAGTCGCAGAAATTAAGTTTTCTTAAAATTTTGGTTTCACTTATTTAGTTGTCTCTCTCTTAGGAATGGTTGAATTCGCTGGTAAAGGAGATGCAAGTAACGTTGAAAGAGTTACTTGTGAACTGTCAACGTGAAAAGCAGGCACCAGATCCACTGAAATATCCGTCCCAAATACTTTGTTTATCAGACAGCATTACATTTACTACGAAATGTGAACAAGCGATATCCAGTATGACGATACCACCAATGTTAGCCAAATATAAGGTAAAATATTAATGTATGGACAACTACATTGTCTTGAAACACAAAGCCTTTTTGGAGTAAAAATATTGAACTTGTTCCTTATGAACTCTGTACCTACCAAATGGCTTTAGAATTAAAAAAGGCGTTTCTAACGTCAATTTTACCAATTTCTTTCAGGCTCAACTAAATCATTACAGCTCTTTGGAAATCAATGGAAGTGGAGACGGTCCAGAAAACAGTGATAACACTCTGGAATTAAAACTTAAAGCCCTCTTGCTAGACACTATCCATCATATTAACGTTCTTGAGGAACTTCTTGAGAATAACGTTACGAAAGTATCCGATTGGGTGTGGCAAAAACAACTAAGGTAGATGTATTCGTATTTAATAAAACATATAATTAAAACCATATATGTAATTACTATTTTACTGTAAATCCAAGAATGGTATTAGAAATTATCTTGATACACAAACCACGTTTTAGATATTATACCAACTCTACAGGCGAGGTGACCATCAAAATGGCTAATGCTAGGATGGAATATTCTTATGAATATCTTGGAAACGCACCTAAATTAGTTAGGACTCCATTGACTGACAGATGCTTCCTCGTTTTAACACAGGCATGTTTCTTTATTTTTTTTTAACAACAAAAGGTAATATTTGCTTTTTAGGGTATTTATTTGGGTATGGGGGGAAATCCTTATGGTCCTGCTGGTACCGGAAAAACTGAATCGGTTAAAGCACTTGGAGGTCTTCTCGGGAGGCAAGTTTTGGTTTTTAATTGTGACGAGGTACGTCAATTCCACATAATCTTCTTCTACCAAATACCAATTTTCCTTTTTAGGGCATAGATGCAGCTTCAATGGGTAGAATTCTCACAGGTATAGTAAGAAGTGGTGCATGGGGTTGTTTTGATGAATTTAATCGCTTGGATGAGGCTACTTTATCAGCTGTTTCCATGCTTATTCACCCCATTCAGGTCTCTTTAAGGACAAATAAGAACAATGTGGTCCTTTTAGACCAAGAGGTAATTTCTACGCTTCCATACTTATGGAACTTCCAAATCTTTTCCATAGAATCTATATTACTAACTTTAATCGTTCGTTTCAGGTGACAGTTAACAAACACTGTGGTATATTTGTCACCCTTAACCCCGCTGGAGGCGGTTATGGGGGTCGCAACAAATTACCTGATAATCTGAAACAACTATTTAGGCCAGTTGTAATGACACATCCGGATCATGAGCAGATAGCAAGATCGCTATTTCATTGCGATGGGTACCAAAATGCTGATTTGTTGGCGAAGAAGTTGATTGAAGTATTTGACTTATCGAGGTAAGAGATTGAAATATCGAAAAAAATTTGCATTTACACATCCGATTTTTGCAAAATCCACAACATAAATCATAAACTGTAACTATTTTTTGTTACATACTTTGGTAATCTTCCCTATACTGTAAAATATGAGTCAATTATCAGTTGATTCTGTCCAAATACCATTCGGATCCATATTTCCAATTTCTTTATTGCTTTTAGCAAACTATTGAGTAAACAGCAGCACTACGACTGGGGCTTACGATCAATTAGGACAATCCTGAGCGGATGCGGAAGAGCTCTGAAAAAATTTAAAATTAATAGTGAATATACGCCTGGTGGTATGGATTTAAATAAGGAAGCAGGGATAGTAATACAAGTTTTGAGAATGGACACTTTGTCTAAATTAACTTTCGCCGACGGCGTCAAGTTTGACTCGATAATAAGGGATGTGTTTAAAAATGTGAAACTAGAATTAATACACAACGATTTACTCTTGGATTCTATAGGAAAAAGTTTTGAAGATCTCGGGTTAATAAAGAATGAAAGGCAGGTTAGTACAATGTGGATATATGTATGAAGGAAATAACCGACCGTTATTTTTTTAAACTTTATTATTAATTTTATACATCATTGGTCTTTGTCACCTTCAAATTACTTTCCTCCCCAATTCACTCAAGCCGGTGTCTCCATTTCGCGAAGCAGTCCTGGATAGCTTCATGGCCTTTAAATTTTTTCGGTATTTTCAGCCATTTTTAGTAATTTACTGAAATGCCGTGGCTGCTTGAATAAAATTAATAACAAATTCGAAATCAGCGCATCAAAATACTAGGTAGGTAGTCTAATGAGGTCTCCAGGTCAGCCAACTTTTTATTTTGTGTGTCTGTGTTAAGGACGAAATCATTCTTTTCAATATTTTCACTTTGTATGTTCTGAAATAAAAATACTAAAAATTTAACTACCAGTAACTGCATTGGATAAGAATCATAACATTTATGTGTACTGAATAATGTTACAGATTAATAAATGTTTGGAATTTTATGAACAACTCCAACAGAGAATGGGAGTAGCCATTGTGGGACCACCCAGTTCAGGAAAATCAACAGTAAGAAACTTAATGTTCCATGTAAGTTTTTGCTAATTAATAAAAGATAGTTGTGTTACTGAAAATCATTCCAGGCTTTGACAAAAATAAATAAAACGATGAAATCATACGCATTTAATCCTAAAAGTATGACGAGATATCAACTTCTGGGGAAAACAGACCCAGACACGAACCAGTGGAATGACGGTGTCTTGACGAATTGTAGTTTACAAGTAGCTGCAGAGAGTTCAGGTTGGTTGTGGAAAAAGATACCACTTATAATTCTGGTATATATTTTGAAGATAAAATTTCGATAATCCGAAAGATACCAAGAGGCAGCTTAGTAAAAGAGACAAATGTTATCAGTGGAAATTGACTTCAAATGACAAATAAGTCTATTGAATTAAATATATTTCTATATGTTTGCAGATGTATGGTCGTGGATAGTTTGCGATGGTGATGTGGATCCTGATTGGGTCGAGTCATTGAATTCCGTCCTAGATGACAACCGTCTTCTATCTCTCCCTTCTGGATGGCGGATTCAGTTTGGGCCCAATGTGAATTTCGTATTCGAAACTCACGATTTGAGTTACGCTTCACCAGCGACTATATCAAGAATGGGCATAATATTTCTTAGTGAGGAAGACCTGGATTTGAACACTTACATCACCAACTTCGTACAAAAGTTGCGAGAAGAACAAAGTTCTGTTCTTGAACCACTTATTAGTGACTACTTCAAGAAAGGTAATACTTTTTAAAATATTACTGTTGTCAAATAATATTTGCAAATGTATATTCACAGTCTTCAACATTCTTGAAGCCTTGTAATGTTAAATTATAATATGCTATAAACTTTAAAACTTCATTTTCTGTCTCCAAATAACTTTAAATTTGAGTAAATCCATGTTTAAATATTTGGTATGCAAGATTCTTATATCAATTACTTTACATTTTCAGCTCTCAACTGGGTTATGAATGATGGGGAGTTGACAATTCCGTCCTCCAAAGTTTCTGTTGCAAAAACGGGATTATCGCAACTCAATGAAGTCGATAGTAAGGCACATTTTTGTGTCGGTCTTATCAATGGTCTTGGACAACAGTTACAATACGACTTTAGAGAAATCTTTGCCCAACAAGTAAGTTTCCAAGGAGTACCTATATATTTTACCTAATATTTTTTACAAACCTTTACAGGTATATGAATGGACAGGCGAAGTTTCTCCGCCGCTGGTATTGAAATCTCGATTCAACAAAGAAAGATGTCTTATCGAATCTTACTACACAAATCCGAACACTATAATTGAAAACATTTCTGAAGGTTTGCCACTAGTTGAAACCGGACAAATTTCTCAATATCTTGACAGTTTGAGAATATGGTTAACAGAAAACAACCAGCAACATTTCCTCTTAGTTGGCCCTCATGGTTCAGCAAAAACGTAAGAAATATTAATACTGCACTTTTGCTGACAATTCCAAATTTGTTTTCTTTAGGTTGATACTGAAGCAGTTAATAAACGAAAGAAGTGACGTGGAATGTGTGACTATTCATTGCAGTACCAATTTGATGCCAATTTTTGTGATCGGTAAATTAGCTGAGGTAAATAAACGGATGTGATGAGTTAGTTCAATGCAAGATGAATTAATATTTAAAGAACAATGGTTCTTCGGATTATTATGATGCGACTTATGTGTCTGGTCGCCGCCATTTACAGACTTACATTACACTCCGTTGCTCTTAGCTAGAAATATTTGCCTCACTTGGTATAAATTCGGTATTTCAAACACAAAACAAAATTATTTTAAACAAATGCTCGGTCGATTTATAAGCTGCTAATTTTTTGTAAGAAAATGTATAACCTACAAAGGGATGACATTAGCGATGATTTTTTATATGGCAATCCTAGTTATTTGTTCGCTTTTTTAAATAGCATGTCAAGTTATATATTACTATCAGATTTCAAATATGTACTCATAATTCCAACATACAGCACTTACTTTATCCACTAGTGGAATAAAGTAACTTTATTTCACCAGTAGAATACTGAAAAAATAATAAACCTATAATAAATTTTAATCTTATATTTTCAGCATTGTATAGCTGTAAACACTCATAGAGGTAAAATATTTAAACCAAAAAAAGGATATTTGACACTTCACTTCAAAAATCTTGATCTCCTGAAATGTGATAAATGGGGAACCAATATTCTCATTGAATTTTTAAATCAGGTAATTAATTCATCGTTGAAAAAATCTGTAATTTTCTATCAGTTCATATTACAAGAGACCAAGCAATCATCTGTACACAGACGACAATTCCCAAATTGTATAGTCTTTTTTGCACACAATAGAACTATTTCTACCGAAAAAATAAAACATTTTTTGTTTCTCAAGAAATTAACCCGTCAACAAATAAACAAATGAGTTTAAGCCAAATTTATATTTAATTCAAGGAAAATTACAGACTTTAGTTTTAGTTTTGCTTCTTTAAAATATTATAGTTACATAATATTGCATGTAATTATTAGGTTATAATCTATCAATAGATTAATTTTGTTGAATTCAATTATCTGATGTACTTGTATATATTTTTCTATCATTAAGTTACTACTTTATACTTTCGGTATATTGCTTTTCAAAGGAGCAAACATAGATGGCCTACAGTTGATGTCTTCTTGTTTTATATGTTTTTGTAGTTCGTTAATTGTAGCTTGACTTTGCAGAATCTTAGCTTTTAGTTTAGCAACCTCTTGTATGTTGTCTTTGTCTTTGTTATCCAGTTCCTCATTAGCTTCGGCCAATTTCGTTTGAGAGTAATTCTTGAGGCAGTTATACTTAGCATCTAGTGCTTGTATTATTTCCCTGTATTCTTGCAGTTCCCTCTTCAAAGCGTCTTCATTGCCCTTATATCCTTCCACTATGGTTCTTGCTTTCTCATATTTCTCAAACAGGTCCTTGAAACACCTCTCGAGATTCTCTATGTGCATCTTAAGGTTCTCATTTTCGTCCATGAGGAGTTGCCGTTCAGCCCAAACTTTTTCGATAAATTTATCGTAATCTTTCATAACTCTTTGAAATTCATTCTCGTCCATATTGTTAGTTCGAGCTTGGTTTTCCAGTTCTCTATTCTTCGCTTCTACGTCGGCAACTTGTTCTTCCAATTCCTTGATACGAGCCCGATTGTTCTTCAAGAGAACGTCCTTTTCGTGCACTACTTCTTTGAATTTGCCCAATTCGCTATTTTTCGACAACAGTTCTTTCGATACCGGTTCTTGCATGCGGAATATCTACCAATGAATATTGTGAATACACGAGAATTAGGATAAATTCACGCTGTACTTACTTTTAAGATGTCCATTTTTTTGTAAAATCTATAACATATGTAACGAAACAAAATTTTGACACACCTACAATGACAGAATGTTCCTTTCAGCTAGTGAAGTACAAGGGCTTCTACGATGCCGGTGTTGAGTTTATTGGGATTGAGAATATAACCATCGTGGGGTCGCTTGCAACTTCACGTAACTTGTCGAAAAGGTTTACTTCAAATATGCACGTGTTTAATATAAAGTGAGTATAATTTTTCTTGGTGATAATACTGTAATTTTTTACTGCGTAAATAAACTTTGTAAATCTGTCTTGCGACACACATTTCTTTAGTTTCAAGTCACTAGGATTGATTGAACTTTTGTTGATAACATTTTATGATACTTTTCGATGAGATAACTTTTGCTACGTCGTTTTTATTTTCTTTTATGTCGGGCCAGATCGCTAAGACAAACACTGATTGATGTAGAGTCTCTAAAAATGCAGAGGTGATTGCCAATAAAATGTGATTGTTAGTAGGCAAAATATGTTCAAAAGAGTATATTTAAAATATAAACGGATCTTTGCGTTTCAAGTTTCTTAGGAAATAAAAATATGAAACATGTATTATTTTACCATAGTTTCTGACACGGAATTATTATATTTATTAATAGTCTTCTATTAATAAACTCATCAAATCTACAAAAGTCAATTCTAATTCCTCTAAATTTAAAAATTAAATACTGTTTGCATTTGGTTTTCCCTCGTATGCAACGTTTCCATTTAAAATAAGAAAACACAGCCCCGTGCTCATTAAGCTGAGTAGTAAGTAAACAAAGCTATATAAATAATATAGCGCTCAATGTGGAAGCAACTTCTATATGCATAAAATATTTTTCTATGCCTCCTGGAGTTCACCTCACCCTCTATCTAAATATTTGATTTTTTCTAGTACACCGGAACACGATGATTTTTCCACCATAATTTCCGCTTACTTGTCAGCAATTTTAAGGGAATGCTTCACAAATCAAACTTGGCCTAAGGCAAAAGTTGTCAAACTTACTGCCTCGATGATTTCAATTTTTGATAAGGTTGGTATACATATTAGTGCATAGATGTAAAACGATAATTAAGCTCTAGATTTTGAAAAACGATACAAAAAAGTGTGGTGAATAACTGAGCTAAACCTTAAATCTATCGAAATTATGAATTTTAGGTACCTTAAAGTCATTAAATTTTGAATTTTAGGTAAGAAACCAATTTACTCCCACCAAAAGGAAGCATTACAATTTCAGCCCGCATGACCTAACGAACTGGTGTAAGGGCCTGCTGAGATATCAAAATAACGAAAATATAGAGCTTGAAGCTTTCATAATAGAGGTAAATAAAACAATTATCGGAACGGTACTTCTACATTTAACTTAATTTTAGGTTGTAGCATATGAAGCCGTAAATATTTTCGGGGACAAACTAGCAGACGATCATGACCGGAAGCGCCTTTACGAAATAATAAACGAGACCTTACAAAGCCAATGGAGTGGGGCCAAATGTGTAAGAAAATTGGTGGAGAATTATTATTTTGTTCCTACTGATGCAAGCTCAACTAGACTCAAATCGTGCAAGTTGACGAAACTAACCACCGAGGAATGGAGGTCCATGGTACAATTGGGAATCTCGCAATACGGTAAATAATTTGTTTTTTAAAGTTAATCCTTCTTATCAGAATAAAATATTTCAGAAAGAGAAGGGCAAGTTATAGATATCATAATCAACGACGAATTACTACACTTGACAGCTAGTATCTCTAAAACACTCAGTTGCCCACGAGGCAATATTTTATTAGTTGGAAAATCTGGTGTAGGTCGGAAAAGTGCTATTAAGATCGTATCAGCCTTGCAGTCTGCTAAGTTGATAACTCCAGAAAACGATGAACAGCAGTTCAATAATGACCTAAAAGCTGTAAGTCTGTTATCCATATATTCATCCAAATATGTATATCACCTTGATCAAATTAATTGAAATATACAAATGCTATTTGAATTATTTGATATATTTCATTGTTTTATACAATCAAATAACATCAATATGATTTTAAAGAATTATGAATTGCCTTTTAGGCAATCCAGTATGCTGGTTTAGATGGGGAAAATGTATACATTCTGCTTGAAGATCATCATTTGGCAAAAGAACAAAATTTAAACAAGATCAATTTGTTAATTTCATCCGGAGAAGTAAGTTTCCTTGAATTGAATAAAACTTATTTACTATACCCCTATATTGCTTATAAATTTACTTGTTTAATTATTTTTTTATTTGAGATTCCTGGTCTTTATTCCTCTGCAGAACTGGAATCTTTAATAAAAATTCTGAAGGATGAATATGACAGGGAGGACTTTGATGGAACTTTACTCCAATATTTTTCAGAACGTAAGTAAAAACTTATAATCTTGATAAAATTTCCTTATAAATTACATATTTATTCTTGATATTTCCTACGCTGTAATTGGAGTTTTCTTTGATAGGGGTATTATGGTGCATTAAATAATAGTTATTTATTGTAGAAGTGTTTTGAGTAGCATTTTTTCTACACAAGAATGTTTAAACGCGAGAACGTAGTTTTATCCATAATCACATCATAATCATATTTGTGGAGTCAGAATTATTGGAATTTAATAAAAAAAGTATTCGCACGACTTGATATTTGTTACTAGTACTCAATGAAACGTGGGTATGTTTTGTTATACCTACTGATACCTTATTATCAATTATTTAATAAACAGTCTTATCTGAATTTGGTAAAAATGCAAAAATGTAATTGTGTTCCTATGACTGTTTTTAAAGAAGCTCAAGAAGCAATCAAAAATGTACTTCTCAGCCTGTTTGAATCAACACATTCGCGAAGGTACCTACCTTCAATAGCTGCTTCATTTCTGAATATCGCAAATCCAGAAGCATATACTGGCCATTGTATGAGGCGCACTTCAACAACTTTATTGGCCAATAAAGGTGCTGATCTTACAACCATCAAACGGCATGGTGGAGGGAAGAGCACCTCTGTAGCAGAAAGTTATGTTGAGGAGTCTATATCTAACAAACTTGATATTGCAAGGAAAATCCAAGGAAAATATAGCTGTTCCTTACAAAAAGAGACATCCGTAACTTGTGCAAATTCTTCACAGACTTCGGCAGATGTTAAGCGTTCCGAAAATGATGGCAACAATACTACAAGGGTTGTTATTAACGGAAAAGGAGTTAAATGTAATAAAACAAAAAACGAAATGTCTATTACTATAAATGTAAATGTTTATGTTAATAAGTAAATAAATTAAATTTGATTTATTATAGGTTTATTATTTTTTCATTATTCTACTAGTTAATAAAGTTACTTTATTCCACTAGTGGATAAAGTATCACTTTAGACGGTTCATATGTGTGGATAAAAGTCCGACTATAAGATGATTGTGGATAAATAACTTTATTAAAGTCTATGAATTTGTCTAGAATAGGACTGCAGTTTTATTTACTTTCATAAATGATTCTACACCTTTTCAGTATATCGCTAATGGTCAATTAATGTTAGGAAATATTATTTCAACTTCATATTTGTAAATTTAATTTAAAAAAACGTTATTTGTTCGTATATTGTTGCAGATTTTAGAAAGCAGTAATATTCTACCACACATCCTCCAGCAAATGCCACTAACATGTAAAAACTTATCTATAGTTTTCTAATCGATCTTCAACGAAGAAAAGTAAATTCTAGGAGTCTATTATTGCTTTAACTATGAACAATAGTAGTTTTCTCAGTGTAGTGGTAATTTATTTCTCAAAAGAATGAAATTATCAGTGTAAATCACAAAGAGTTACAATACAATACGAAGTCTTTCTGACTATATTTATTTCCGGAATCTTTACAAATAAATAAATCTCTATGTTTTATTAAAATGAATGGATTCAAAATTTAATAAGTTTTACATATAAATCATTCATGTGCTGGAAATAAATTCAATATTAGAAAATTAGGTTCATTTACAAATAAACAATCTAATAATCAAAATCGCTAAGAATTATACAAAATATTCGGTTTTGCTACCAATCATGGACGGACAAAGTGCATACATTTTCTGAATTAAAACTGCCTTAAATAGACACGTGTAAATTCATGTATTATTAAAATTATCTTTTTAATTTAGGAATAAAGAAGCAGCTTCATGTTACCATATGCCTTGACGTGAGGAATGAAAATCTTTCGAATATCATAGAAACTTGTCCGTCATTAAGCCAAAACAGCAGTATATTATGGAAACCAGATTGGTCAATAAATACAATTGCAGAAATACCGAAAATGTTATTGGAAAGGTATGTAAACCGTAACATTTTTCATTCTTAAAGCATAATGTTCTGCAGGTCAAACAATGAAGACCAATGGAAAACAAAGTGTAGCGGTTACTTTTCAAAAATATATCAAAACTTTAAAACGGACGTATCTACACCTTCCAGATTTATTTCAATGATTCGGTTGTATGAATCCATATACGATGAGAAACTAGCAGCCATCGAAAAAAATAGAGATAAACTAAAGGTAAATATTTTTTTAAAATAATGAAGTGCATTAAAGGTTTATTTTTTAGGCTGGGGTAATGAAACTTACAGAGGCCGAAAATCTAGTGAAGGAATTGAAGCAAAATGCAACGGTACAACAGAACAAATTGGAAGAGAAACAGTCCAAAGCTAATTCCGCTTTAGACATGATAAGCAACACTATGAGAAATGCTAACTCCCACAAGGAAGAAATGGAGAGCTTGAAAAGCAAAACAGAATCGGAGAATATTCAGCTTATCAGGAGGTAAGCTAAAAATTTAGAAAACAAAAATAATACTAAAATTTCACTAAACAACATATGTTCACAAATCTTAGATATACGTTTTAATCCTCGAGATTAAAGATAACGCCCCTTTGTAAAGGTTTGTCATTACTATATCCATAAAAAAAGGATACAATAGGATTTTATATTCTATCTGACCTCGAAATAGTTATCTCTTTTTTTCTAAAGACCCTTCAATGAATAAACGAAAGAAGTAATTTTAATTTAATACATCTCTCGTGTCTAGGAAAAGGGAAATAGAGGAAGAGTTATCCCAAGTCGAACCACTGATCCAAGAAGCCCGTTCGGCTGTCGGAAATATAAAGGCTGAATCCCTTTCCGAAATCAGGTCTCTCCGAGCGCCGCCCGATGTTATTAGAGACATTCTGGAAGGTGTATTGCGACTAATGGGGATACAGGACACTTCCTGGAACAGTATGAAAACGTTTTTAGCAAAGAGAGGTGTAAAAGAAGACATTAGGTGAATTTCTAAAATATTATTTGTGGAAGTAAATAAATAATATTAAAAACGTGTTTCCTCTCAGGTCTTTTGACGCGAGCAGAATTTTAACTGAGAACCGCCAAGCGGTCGAAAAGCTTATGTCAGTAAAGAGCGAATCTTTCGATGCAAGAGCAGCGAAAAGAGCGTCTGTCGCTGCTGCTCCTTTGGCAGCCTGGGTGGCGGCCAACGTGAAATATTCGCAAGTTGTGGACAAAATCAGGCCGCTGGAAAGGGAACAAAATAAACTGAAACAGTAAGTTATTCACAAAGAACTGATAAAAGAATAATGTCAACTGAACTACTGTTTTTCAGGAATCTGACGGATGCTGAAACACAACTAGGGGAACTCAGTGCCGGTCTGTTGAATGTAGACGCGACGGTTGCAAAGCTGAAAGAACAGCTGTCTTCTTATACAAAAGAGGCGGCGGAAATTGAGATAGGCTTGAATAAGGCTCAGGAGACGCTAGCGGCTGCAGAAGGTTTGGTCTCTAAATTGACTGATGAGTACAAGAGGTGGCAAGATCAGGTAGATACAATAATTGATATATGGTTTTCACAGAACTGCTGTTATTAAGGTCATTTTCCAGGTGCCTTTTAGGAAGCCTTTTATTTCATAAAATGTAACTTGAAGTCATAAAACGTTGATTTTATGGGTTTATGGGTTTCAAAAAGTTAAATTTTATTTCAATTACGTTTTCAGAATGTTTTAGAATGCTGTATTTGATCATATTTTCGTCATTTTCATCTATTTTTATCTATTATCTATTAAACAAAATAGTTTAATGACATCAAAATTAACTTTCGTACTATCAAATTATTTTAATAAAAATATTATAATTTTTCTTATACTATTTTTTATTTATTAGGTAAAAGAACTTTCTAAGGAAATAGAAAAATTACCTAATAATTGTTTGATGGCTTCGGCATTTATTTCGTTTCTGTCAAATGAATCAGAAGACAAAAGAATGTAAGTAAACAGAAATTTATTATTTTTTTTTAATGTGTTTCTAATTCTAGAGAAGTTATGGATCTGTGGTCTAAAGAAATTGGTCTTGAACAGATGAATATAGAATCATTTCTTTCAACAGAAAGAGAGCAACTCCAGTGGCTAGGAGAAGGTCTATCCTCAGATAAATTGTCCATACAAAATGCAATAATGATTTTAAAGGTAAAACTATTTTTGAAAAAATTATGTCAAAAAAAATTGTTTCATATTTCACTTTGTTTTCATACTGTAGGCAGATATGGTGCCTTTGTTAATAGACCCTACATCGTCTGCCACTGAATGGATAAAACAACATTTAAAACATAAAAATATAGAATGCGTAACACAAAATTCACCAAAATTTAAAAATATGCTTGAACTGGCTGTTAGGTAAGATTATTCTTCATATTAGTTACTTTTTTCTAACATCAATTTTCTCTCTACTTACTATAAATACCAAATAACAACTAGGTATTCATTCTTAACTAATTACAGGTTTGGAAAAACTTTCATTATTGAAGAAGTAGATTCAGTCTGCCCATCACTGCTTCCTATCTTGAGAAAGGAGTTCGTGCAACAAGGTGAGGAAAACAAAACTAATAAAACAACTACATTATTATACATTTGCGTATTTGTAGGTGAAAGGAAACTGATAAAACTGAACGGGAAATTGGTGGATCACCATAGTGAATTTAAATTGATTTTATGTAGTCGGAATGAACAGGTTAAATTACCCGCAGACGTTGCTTCTCTAATAAACCTTCTCAATTTTACAGTAACTCATGCAGGTCTTACAGGTACGTAGCACAAAGGTTACTTGAAAAACAATCCATAAAAAATATATTCTGTCACCCCAAAACAGTTCGACTGAAAGATCTTAGCATCAAGATGGAAGATACAAATGTATTTCTTTTAAAATCTTATCTGTGTATAGTTAGACATCTTTTCCATGACTAGATTTCTCGTATGGTCTTTCATACCAAATACAACAATGTTCTTACATCTTACATTGCTGTATTTGATAAGATTCTTAAGGAAATAACATTTGAATCACGTTAATACGGTTATATGCACATTCTAGAACAATTACTATCCAGAGCAATTCAACAAGAAAATCCAGAGTTAGAAAATAGGAAGAAGCAATTACTGCGCGAGAAAGAGGAACTAGAAGAAAAACAAAGTATTTTTCAAAACCAGTTACTCGAAGATCTGGCGAATTCACAAGGAGACATTCTAAAAGATACGGTAAAAGTTATAAAAAAAAAACTACTGTAAATATCATCTACTAACGCATGTTTACAGAAATTATTGGCTTCGCTGAATGAAACGAAAGCGAGTTCCGAAGCAATTAGCGTGGCTTTAAAGGAATCGTCAGACATACAAGACAAATTGCAAGAAGAATATAATGCCTACAGGGACGTATCACTCTTTGGGAGCTCGTTATATTTTGCATGTAACGATTTTGCAAAATGCAATATACTTTATCTTGTCTCAGCGTTGGCATTTTCAAAATTGTTTTTAAAGTCTTTACAAACGTTTCAGGTACCTAATATGTTAGTTTATTTATTTATTGTTTCTATTTCGTAACACACCTGTACCAAATTAAGTCCACGTCCCTAATAATAATTTAAAACAAAGCTTCTGATTCTGATAAACTTAAAATCCTAATGAAAGCCATTTTCAATAATTTTTCTAATTGTTTTTCTCTTAAAACTTATTGTCAAAAATTTATTATGGTTCAACTAAAACTGAGTCTATAAAAACAGTGGATATAGTGACAGTAAGTCTTAACTGGTGCAGGTACCTGAGTTATCTTTAATCACACTTTAGGGACTTGAAAACAATTTGGAACTTCAAAAGAAACATCTACTCGATATAGTATACCAGTACATAAGTAGAGGAATCTTCAAAAATGATAGACTAAAATTTTTGCTTCACTTGGTCCACAAACTATATCCCAAAGAAATACCAGATATTGAATGGACTCTATTTATGGGAAATATTGTAGCAGATAAAAATATTAATGAAGATATCCCCCCTTGGATTCCTAAACAGTGTGTGTTAAACGTCAAAAACTTACAAGTAGGTTCATAACTATGAAGGCAATAAAAATGTAAAAATTAATTTTATGTTGCTTTCAGTATGCTCTACCTGACCTCTATAACAGTTTGCAACTAAAAGAATTTAACTTGTGGAAAAATTTTATGAACTCGAGCACCTGTGAATCAGAAATCCCTTCACATTGTCATCTTGGTGGTTTCAAAAAGGTGGTGGTTATACAAGCATTAAGACCTGATCGACTCTATTCTGCAATATCTCATTGCGTTTTGCAAATAACAGGCAGGTAAACATCAAAGCGACACTAAATATGTTTTTACAACTGTATTTATTTTCTAAGGTTTGAAGACTCTCGAACCTAGTGTTCTTAATTTGTCTCAGATATATAAAGAATCGAATTGTGAGGAACCAGTTTTACTTCTTGCAATGTCTGGATCAGATCCTTCTTCAGAGATCACTGATTTAGCTGAGAATTTGTTTGGAAAAGATCAATACATGGAGGTAATGATCTTTTCACTTTTTACATAGCTTTTACTATTTTGATGTCCTTGTTCTTCAATACATATTTCGATTTCAAAAATTAAAAAAAAAAACGAGACAACATTTTTTTTTAAAACGTTAACATTATTAAGTACCTATCTTAAAAATGAGAAATCCATAGTTAAACGTAAGAAAATAGTCTTAAATCTGGACGAAGAATATGCTCTTTCTTTTCTTATACCCTATAATTTGATTATATTTTTAACTAACAAAATTTAAGTAAATATTAGGTATCGTAATAATTTATAATTATTGTGTTGGTTTAGTTTATTGATAATTTAAATATGATATTTAGGTTGCTATGGGAGAAGGGCAAGAACCAAAGGCCATAAAAGCATTACAGAAATGTGCAGATTCTGGGTCATGGTTAATACTGAAAAACTTGCATTTAGTTACTTATTGGTTGCCAATTCTATCACAAAACTTGAAAAATTTGAAGGCACACGAAAAATTCAGGTTTGAAAATACAGTCCATTAGTCCATTGTTGTTTTGATAATAACAGTTTTATAATTATTTTAGATTATGGCTAATTTCAGAAGCGACGCCAAATTTTAGTTTTGTGCTAGCTCAGAATAGCCTGAAAGTCGTGTACGAAGCACCTCGAGGCTTAAAAAATAACATTTTGCGGACGTACTTCACCTACGGAAGTAAATTTATTGAAAAATTAAACCCTAATGCTGCTAGAATATTTTTTGTTATTTCGTGCGTACACGCTTTGCTTCAGGAAAGAAGAAAATATATTCCTCAAGGTAGTAACTATAAAAAGTAAATAAATAGTATAGTAGTAGTTATAAGTAATATAAATTTTATTGGTTTTTTATATTATTAAAGACAATGTAGGTCTTAAATTCATTTGATTAGAATTTAGGAAAATTTCTGGAATTGATTTGAATTTTATTGAATTTTTTTTATTTTGCAGGTTGGTCTAAATATTACGATTTTAGTGATACCGACTTTTACACTTGCATCAGACTTGTTGAAGACCTGTGGAATACCCAAACCCCGCAAATTCAGTGGAGGTTTATATCTGGCCTGTGCTCAGATGCTGTCTATGGTGGCAGAATAGAAAATGTTGATGATATGAAAATAGTGGAGTCCTACACAAACCAATACTTTAAGGATGCAGTTCTAAGTCACAGATGGAAACCATTTCATTTTAATGTAAACTTACCCACAACAGCACAATTTCAGGTAGGTAATAATTTATTAAAACTGCAATCATAATTGCTACTACTATTATTTCTAGGATTACTTAAATATTATAAAACAATTTCCAACACAAGATGAACCCTCAATTTTTGGTTTAGCAGAAAACATAAACAGGGCATGGGAAATTCAAACCTCATCAAATATAACAACCGATTTAAAAAGTAATAATTTCACCTAGAAAAAATGCAATATTGAAAAATCTGTTTCAGATCTTTACCTGTCTATAAACTTATCAGCCAATAACAGCCAAGAATATTTACAAAAAGGTTTAATTCCTTTTATGAATCTATGGAAAAAGATCAATCATGGTCATGACTTTGTTAGGATAACGGTACCGTCAATGGACAATAGCAATTCTGCTGTGGAGATATTTTTAAATGAAGAATTTAAGTATGGTGTTCTTCTCATTCAGACCATACACAAACAGTTTTCAGTTTTAAATAAAGCTTGTAAAGGTATTGTGTTACCATCAGAAAAAGATTTAAGTGTTGGTCATTCCCTGTTAAATTATGAGGTAAGTGTTTCTGTGACAAGAGTTTGAGAAACAAATTTTGCAGAAAAAAGTTATCTCAAGTAAGCACTTGGCATGTTCTTATTTAATTTTCATTTTAGACTCCTAACATATGGTCAGATATTTGGAATGGCCCAAAGGAACCTAACAAATACCTAAGTACCATTATGAATAAAGTAATTCAATTGGAGAAATGGAAAAATGGAAATATCAATGAATTATTAAGAAGCCCATTAAATTTATCTTACCTTTTCCATCCAGAGGCACTAATAGCTTCTCATAAGCAAGATTTTTCGAGGTTGTTCAGTATCAGTACTATTTGTTGATGATTTTAACTTTAACAATTTGTTTTTAGGACTGTTGATATTTCAATGGATCAATTAACATTAAAAACAAGTTGGAAGGCTGCAAATCAGTCTATAATCTTATCAGAACTCTTGGTTGAAGGAGGGCTGTTTGAAAATGGAATATTGAAGCCTTGTTCACCTAATTCTGAGAACATAAACAATGCTCCAAATTGTTATTTAAACTGGATTGACAAGGTAAAATTGACGGTACTTGCATGATAGCAAATTTTTTGCTTTTAGAAAAATATTGGTAGACTTAGACACTGTACGGACAAAAAGAGAATTACTGGTATTAATATATGAAAATAATGAAACCTTGTTCTATAAAGGACTCTAAGCAGTTCCGGTCGGAAGTTTTTTTTGTCCGCAGCTATATATTTAAACTGATTTTTAATCTTTAAATTTTTGTTGAAAAAATATTTAACATCCCGTTACTAATTTAAAGTAAAAAGAGACAACATTTACAAACCCAAGTCAGTGTTGTGTCTAAAGAACTCCGACTTTTCGATCCATTTTGTTCAACCTTCTTACACCTTTTCCTCAATCTCATCTATTTTGGCTATTTTTTGTTTCTATGTCAGAGATATTAAAGATGATAAATATTTAAATTAATACAATATATACTGCTTTTAGAAACATTTTCTGGAAGAAGATAACCAATGTACAGTGCCTCTTTACACATCTTCAAATAGAGAAAAAAAGGTGGTACTACTTCAGGTACCATGTGAAGTCAAAGACAAAGAGAAGTGGATTCAAGCAGGACTTGCTTTATATCTAGAGTATTGAGAAATTTAGATAATTATAAACCGATTATTTATAACAAGTATAATAAAGAACTAGTTTTTTTCTGTTTTTGTATGCTCCAGTATCAAACAGTATGTGTGACTCATTCTCAACATATAGACCCTTTCAAGGGCTAAGACGTGCAAAGGATTCCATGGATGTATATTTTAGAGGGTTCCAAAATTTTTTAATATATAATGTTCTTGATCTGTTAAATTCTCTCGTGAACGACTACCCTGATTATCAGATTAGTCGCAAACACCCAGACATAATTCGATTTGTAACAACACTTATTTGGAATATCTAAAATGTGAAAATAACAACACGTCTGACACTTATACGCTTATGACATGCACTGACACCCCTCAGTTTGAAACTGATCCAGGAAAGGAAGTCAAGATTAAGAAAATAAAAGATATAAAGATCACGGCTTGATTCAATTAAAATTAGAAATTATGATTTTTTATTTCATTGATGAGAAAATTTACAACATGAGTATAAAGTGGTAATAATACAAAGAAAGTGTATTTTTGTGATTATAAAAATTGCAAGTAAAAATAAATATTTAATTTTTTACAAACATGAAACAAATTAATTCAGTTTACTAATAGACATAGGCATCTGTAGATAGAAGTTTTTGGGAATTATGGCAGTCCCATACCCATTCAGGTCCTAAGCACAATGCACTAGGATTTACTTCTTTAAGCGAATCACTACTCTCCCTTCGAGTTATTATAACATCAATGTGTTCTGTAGGATCATCAATTGATTTTCTGAAAAACTCAGTTAGATGGAATTTTTATAAGAACATAAAAATACTTATTATTTGTTTAAGCAATATAAAAAATATTTGGTTATCTAGAATGTTTCAAAACATGTAAGCATTTAATAAAACAAAATTTCTACACGTGTAAAATATAAACCAAAAAGCACATACAATACGATACATAATATAAATATTTTTCGAAAATTTGACTTACCCGTTATATGCCACTATATATTTCAGCAATTTATTATAAATTTCCATGTCAAGGGACTGATCTATATAAAATTTCTTGTCATTAAATATGTTTTTCAAATTATTTGCAAAATCTGATGACATTTTTTGTACCGGACTTTCTTCATCAGTATCGGCACTGTATATATCTTTATGGTTTTCTTTTCCTTTTTTTCCTTGCACCTCCAGAATTTTTGCTACTCTTTCTTCAGTATCAGAAGCTTCATTTCTAAAAAAGTATACAAAACTATAAGCTTTTTTAATAATAAAAAAAAAGGTAAACGTACCGTTCATCACAGTCAGTGTCAGAATCACTATTCTGGTCAACATTATATGAAGATGTACCAATTCTCTCACAAATTTCATCTTCACTTTCTTCTTTGTCAGCGTCATTTTTATCTAAAGCATACTTTCTCCAAGGCAACCGCTTCCTTTGAGAGTAACAGTCTTCTAACCACTGTCTTTTTATAATTTTCCCTTTACCTCTAACTTGATGAAATTTAGGAGTATTCATAAAAGCACAGCTAAAACAGAAAACTATTTTCAATGGCTATATTTGATAAAGATTTTAACTTACATTAAATGGGTACAAGTGTTGTCCCAATCGGATTTATATCTAGCTCCCATGGATAAGGCCTGTGCCCTTAAATTACTTCTGTCGGGATTCTGAATCCCGCTTATGACGAGTATAACACCCTCCAGTAGTTGTGCAAAAGGTTTTGTCTTCTCCTCTCTTTTAGTTTTTTTCTTTCCATTTCTTTTCACTATTTCATCGTTAGTTTTCCTTTTACGGTTATTGTTTTTACTGTCTTCTTTCTTTTTTGAGGTACTAGGTGTACTTATGGAAACGTCTAAAGGCTTTGGACTGCCACTTTCTTTTTTATTAGACCTTTTTGAGTCATCTCCTTTTAATTTTGCTTTTGGAGTTCCTTCCTTCTCTAATTTTACCTCTTTTTCTTTAGCTTTTCTTTCCATTAGTTTATCAATTTTGTCATTAGGTTCTTCTTCATCTTTGCTGTAAAGCAACTCGTTCCTGTCTCGAGGCTTAGACATTTCTTCAGAGTTATCCGTGAGAGACTCTCTTTTGGAAGTGGAAGTTGGTGTAGAATTATGAGTTTTCAATTTGGGTTTACAAACTGGTGAACCATAAAGAGCCAGTGAAGCTGAGGATGAGGCTTCTCTTATGGCAGCTGCTCCTAATAGTAACAAACAGACGCTGTTAAACTATTACTGACAAAATATTTATTTGAATAAATGTTAAGGCTTTAAGCTTAACAACAAAAATTCTAAGAAATTTCCTGTTAGAAACATGAAAAAAAATAGAAATCCTCTGAAATTTATCATTTGTCTTCATACATTTTTTCAGGAATGTTCGACAGATAAAGAAAAATATTTTCAAATAATTAATACCTGTTAATTTCTCTTCCTGTTTTAGCTGTTTCTGTTTTTGAAACAAACTGCCAGCTGACAAGTTATCAGGTGATTCAGGTCTCAAAATAAATTTTCCAATATGTGTCTGTACAGGTGCTACCATTTTTTCATCACTGCTATGAATGTTTATAAATGAGAGTCCATACTGTACATGTTTATTAAACGGTTGAGTACACACAACTTTTACTCGATCCCATTTCTCGTCACATTCTGGTTTTGAAAAATGTTCCTTGGTGAACATTCTTACTTTATTAACATTCTGGCTTTGTCTTGCTTCTATGGGAGTCATAAATGAAGATGTTACTAATAAAACTTTATATTCATCGTTTGTGCCAGACCGTGATACTAAAATTTCAACATATGCCGAATGCTCATTTCCAATGTCTATCCCAGATATAAGACTGGCCTTTTCCAATTGTAAAACCACAACCGCGTTTTTCTCACCTGGCGTTTGGCATTTCCATTTTTTAGATGTATCACTTGATAAAATGTTACTAGCGACATGAACCTAAATATGAAAATATGAAAAATTATATTTAATCGAGTCTACTTTCAAAAAATAAATATATGTACTTACGGAATCTTCACTGCTGAAGCTAATTATATGATCTATTTTTATTTTAGGCATTTTTTACCGCGCAAATATTTTAATTTGTATACATTACATAACCTGAAATTGAAATATCAGTTTGCCATCATTGGATCTACTAAGAGGCTTTCGTTTTGGCAAAATTACTAAAATTAGTACCTATTAGCAACTGATCTCAGTTCAGAATAACTAATCCGTGGGCCCATCGGCCCATCCACATGGAACATTCGGTAGTGATCCGTATTTATTTTGACATGAACATTGCATTCATTTTAATTACTTACATCCACATACTTCTATCGATAGAAGTATGTGCTTACATCTATGAAAATAATGTGTTAAAAAGTATTAAGGATCACCATCTCTCTTTTCATATTTAAACGCACAAATAAATAGCCAAAGGTAAACAAATCATTTTGACAGGCTAGTCTGTACCACAGTATACTAATCAAATTAGTAATTCTTATACTGTGATGTAGTATATACTCTAATCAATGAATTACTTAATGCTGTGAGTTATATTTGACATATGTAGTTTTGTAAAAGAAATGGCTATACGTACACCCTTGAAATTTGATAGAAAATAAGTATAAATAATTACCAATCCTTCCAATTAAATGAAAACAAAATATTATTTGAAAAACATAAACAAATCTTTTATGCCATTTACAGTAACCTTTATTTATTATTTTATTAATTTTACAAAATCATTTTGATCAAAATAAATTGATAACGTGAAGTTAATTTTTATGTCATCACTCTGTTTATATAAACTTGACAGAAATTTAATAGCTCGGCACGAATTTTAGTTTGACGGTTTTATCAAACTCATCGTGATGTTACCAAACTATTTTAATTGTCAACGGAAATTTGATATGTGATAGTCTGACACACGCTTCTAATTAAGTACAATTATAAATATTAGGTATTTTTTTACTCGCACTGGACTCCAACGGAAATAAATACACTATAGCCAATGATTTACATCTGCAAAAGAATAGAGTTGGTGTAAAAAGTGTAAAAATAGTACAGGTGAAAACAAGATCAATGGTCAAGAAGTGTACAAAAGAACGCTTTCATCTTTCAAATAATGGATGGAAGTTTATTTTTGCGCCTGCGTAAAACGTATTAAATAGTTGCCATCGCGTCACATGACCTGAATTGTGGCCCCGTGACCAAAATTGAAGGAAAATTCAAAATTTCCAAAAGAACAATAAAAATATCGTACAATGGACATGCTAGATCCATTAGAAGCAAGGTAAAATAGATATTTCGACTCGATACTGTTTTTTGCTCGATGTGGTTATGTAACGTCCTAATATGACAAGGTCAAATTAAGCTTTGATAAGTATATAAATATGATAATTAGATAAATATTTGTTAGCTGCTAGTTATCCCATTCGTAATTATGGAAATTTCATTTCAAGTGAGACATCGGAAGTTGAGACGAAAGTGATGTTAAATGAAATTCACATTAAGGGACATGGAATGGACAGTGATGAAGAAGGCAATGTTGATCACCTTTCTCCACAAACATTACTTGAAACCCCTGGTGAAAATGAAGTGCAATATTCACTTAGATCACCAGAAGGTACAGTTGCTTGTTAATTTTTATTTTTTAAATAAATTACTGTCTATGATAAATTTAACCGTCACAAATGTATCCCTAACCTGTTTTGTAATTATAAACAAAAGCAAACGCGTTGTTGCACTTGTAAAATATAGCTTATTTGTCATAACCTTTGTTTAAGGAGGTATGATAACCTACAGAGTGTTACAAGTTGATGACAGTAGCGTAGAAGCAGTTCCACAAATTGTAACGACTGGTTCCACTGGTTACACAAATGCAGGTGTGCCTCAAGTTCTAACAAGTAATCTCAATGGTCAACTCTATGTAATAGGAAATCCAAATGACATGTTTGCTTCTCAAGCTGGAACAAGAACTATTGCTCCAAGATCATCTATAATCGAAACAACTAATAGTGTTGTTAATAACATAAAAAAGGTAAAATAGATATTTCTTTTTTTTTTGTGGAATATATTTGGATTTTATAAATTTTCAGAGAGACGAAAGACGAAGAGCAACACATAATGAAGTCGAAAGGCGAAGACGTGATAAAATAAACAACTGGATAACAAAACTATCCACTATTATTCCAGAGACAAATCCAAGCGAAATAAAGGGAAATGGTCACTATGATGGGCAATCAAAAGGGGGAATTCTGGCAAAAGCATGTGATTACATCATGGAATTGAAAGACATACAAGAAAAATGTGAACAATGTCTAAAGGACAATAAACAATTAGCCCAAAATTTGGAGTTGGTAAAAATTAAAAACTCTATTTTGGAGAGAGAGAATAAAGAATTGAAAGAATTACTGAAGAAGAATGGGATACTTTATGTTCCCAGCGAAATTTCTTCTTAGCTGTCATAGTTAGTTATTTAGGAAAATATTTTCGATTTTATCGTGCACTGTTTTTTATAGTTTTTTCTTTATTTTTCTATATTTTATTGTCCAATTGTTGTACAGTAATTCGCCATTAATTTTAATTAAGTTCAATTTATGAAGTTGATATCTAGTTTATAAAATTGTTGTAAATAAATAAATGTATATTATTGAAATTTGTATTAATCAAGTCTCTTAAAATATATAACGAAACTATGAGCTAAAAAATTAAGGAATGATTTTACTCGTAATAGTATAAATTCCACGACACCTCTGCAAAAATTTAAGGATTTATGCATTGTTTATTAAGTTTTTAATTAATATTTTGCCATAATTTTTTCAGCTAAAAATTTTGAAAATTCTGAAGCCCCAAGGACTGATTGACCAGAAAATATAATTATTTTATGAAGTATTGGTGACTTCTCATTATTACTTTTTTAAAAAGGAAAATTAACAAATCAATCTTTATTACGTTTATGTATTGTATGTTAAAATTGATTAACTTTATATCATATTTTATATAAAAATGAAAAATAAAAAATGTTTTAATTGTAGAGGATGTAATAAAAACAGGAAACATCGACAAAGTGTAGTAGCGTTTCTTTTTTTGTTATATTTCCTGACCTAATCCAAACAAAAAAAGCAAAAATGTTTAAACTAAAAGTTTTGAGGTAACTTAAAAATAGTAAATTTTATTTTTGCAATGTAACTGGAACAGGATTTGAGCATATAATTGTGTTATTTAAATTAAAAGCGTCAAAATTTGTCAAAACTTTAATTCATTAATTAATTTATAAAAATTGTAATTTTAATTAAAAAAACGTAGAAAAACATTATGTTTATTTCTCAGCTGCAAGAAAGTTATGATAAAGTATTATTAAAACAAAAAAAAAACTGATATTATATGTACCCTCAGTTAACAGACTTTTTTCATGTTGACTGAAAAGTTGTATACTTTTTCTCACTCAATTGGGACTTGACACAGGGACTTGAACTATTTTTATGAGTATAACTTGCCCCTAATATTTTTACTCGTAATTTCTGAACACACTATAAAGGGTGTTCTCAAAGTTGAGTCATTTATTCTAACAGCTTGTAGAACTAATAAAAGAAAGTCGATTTACCAAAAATTGTTTACATAAAAGTTGTCAAATAAAAATTAACAATTATTTAAGAAAATTGAAATATAAAAACTTTATAATACAAACCTGATTTATTGTCAGTTTCAACCAGTCCGTTGTAAAAACATAAATTGTTTGTTTACTGCTGATACTGGGTGTCTCTTTTTTTTGTAGTTGCACCATCAATTAATTCCTTATAACAAAAATCTTAAAGCAAAGTATTACTTTTACTATTTTATCAAAAACTGAAATTTTTCGGAAATTATTGCAAGAGTCCAATCTTCTGTTGACTATTTTTGTGTTTTCTTTGCTCAGTTTTCTCATTCATTGAATTTTGACACCCAACGGTAAAGAACATCAATCCATCCGAGTGTCACAAGAAACACTCGGTACATGTGTTTCTTCACATTCTGCTGCAGAATGTAAAATTTAACAACTTTTATGGTACTACTGAAGCCTATGTTTAGTGCTGTTTCATATGTACTTCTAATATTCTGAACTCGATTCATTTCTTATCATAAAACGTTTAGACGTTATTTATTTACAGCAAACTTCACAGAACAGTCATTTATTTTTCTCTGTAAAACAGTGCATATTGGACAATGTTATCTAAATTGACAAAGGCACCATTAAACCAAACATTTTTTTAAATGACTTTGATACTAAACAGTTCGAAATACAGTTTATAAAAAAAATATAATATATATAAAAACCATATTATTTATAAGAAAATATATATAACAAATTTAGAATGCTAGTATTTTATATCGAGGTTAACTAAAAAGGATAAAACTGCTCTTCAAATGCATAAAAGAAGAAGATAGCAGATCACAGTGAAATAATATAAACATTATTTGCAACTTATGAAACCAGATCACACTTATCCCTTTCAACAGTGAACCTCAAACATAAGCAGGATTACAAACTAATTTAACAGTGTATAATTTGTATATTACAATATTGTTATATCATTATAAAGCAATCTTTCTTAGAACATTTTTGCTCATAATAACTTAGACTTTACATCTATTCACGACGTAAATTATCCAGTCTAGCCTGAAGGTCTGCATCGGCATCTGATAGACCACCGTTGCCACCTACAGTAGCAGCTGCTGCGGCGGGTTGTTTTTGACCAGTGGCAGGTAAAGATCCGGTAGTTTGAGGTAATCCGGACAGGGTGTCAGTCAGTTGTAGGCCTAATTCATCCAGAACTTGATTCACAACTGCATCACTAAATAAAAATATTGGAATTATTTGGTCGTCTTGGAGTATAAGAACTACCTCTATATTTGAACTTGATCAAATTATCTTTATGATCTGTACAATCTAATAAAATAGGGATAGTAATTATTTCACGTACTTTAAGATAAGACTAATACTATAAAAATATAAATTATGTTTTGAATACTATTATTGCTTTCATTGGTCCACAATTATTGCTTATTTATTTAAAAATAAATAATAATAAAATAAATTTAGATGGTTTATATTATATGTCTCAAACCTTTCTTCCTCATCGTCATCACCCTCCATCGCATCGTCAATAGCATCATTCATAACTTCCTCTTTCATATCCATAATTTCAGATTGCTTTTCAAATTCTTGTAATATTCTTTGTATCTGTGGTAAATTGAGTTGTCTATTCATACTAGCCATAGCCTTGGTAACTCCTTTCATAGCTTGAGCCATAGCATTTTGCGATCTTAATGTTTGTATTTTAAGTGAAACTGCTTGAATGTTTGCTTTCATTAACATAAATTTCTTTACATATCTTCGAGTTCTTACTAAATCTCTTGCCATAATTTTAACAGCATCCTAAAAGTAAAATATAAGGCTTGATTAAATAAAATGTTTGGTAACATTACCATCTGCCCCTCTTTAGCTAATTTTTTTATATCGTTAATAATTTTCTTTTCCTGTTGTTCCATTTTCTGTTTTTCTCGATCTAAGTCCCTCATTGCTTTGTTTAACGCCCGCTGATTTTTGCGAAGAAGCTCTTCAGGCGACAATTTCTTACCGAAAAGCCACTCCATTTTCGTAAAATTGTAGAGTATTGAAATGTAATTTTAATCAAAATTAATTCAAACAATGTCCATAAAATTAAAAATGACTCACTAATGAAAACAACTATTTGACGTTTACTATGACGTTTACATGATCGATCTTGACAAATGACAAATGACAATAATCCATAGACTATTACGCCAATAATAGCTTTGTTCGTAAACCTACACAACGTGTAGTGTAGTGTAGTGGAATTCAGTGTTTCTGTTATCAGTTTCTTTCAATTGTTGAATCGGATATATGCAAATGTCGTTTATTGTCGCGGTATAATACAACTGAAGTCAAACTAGTAATTTTCTATTGGTAGATATAAAATATACTTATTTTAAAAAAAATTAATGAATAATAAATGAGAACTGATTGTTTAATTTACTGTAGTATTTTTGTTTTTATCACTATTTTACCACGTTTTAAGTTTGGTTTTGATTATATGATAATAGTTCTTCAACTGATAGATTGTCACTTATTAAGTCAGCTGACTAACTTGTGATAAGTCCTGAATTTTTCACAAAATTTGTTCGTTCTCTCGTGAGTTGAGTGGGTGGTGGTTCAGCGAGAATACTTGTAAGTTCTTTTTTAAATTATATTTCTTAGTTATATGAAGTATTATTAGATTAATAAGACAACAATACAAATTTTAAAATGCCGTAAGTTCGTCTCCATTCTTTTATATTGATTTTTATCGAAAATGTTTTCGACCTATATTTTGACCGATTCTTGCTGTACATACGGTTTTTAAAATTGATTCTAGTTATTTAAAAAGGTTTATGTAGCAAGTCACATATCTACCTATTAGTTCTATACGTTTTGTTATTATTTTAATCTTTTTTAAGACGAGAATATTTGAAATCAATCGTGTGACGAAGGCGTAGTCCATTACAAGCTAGTTCGGTTCGTGCATTATATAATGCGGCAAATAAATTGTACTTATCTTTGACATTGAAATGGAACTGCGATTGATAAACGCATATTAGATATTGTGTGCGGGATTATAATTTTTAGACTTCACGTGATCGGTCTATTACAAGGTAAAAGAGTTTATTTTATAAAATAATTACCATTGTTATTTAAAATATTTGTAATAAATACATTTAACTGTATTATATACATTGTTATTGTAAATTAAATTAGTTGAAATAATTTAAAACAAATTTTTATTACAGATTTTTATAACTGTTCATAAACATGTCGAAGTTACCTAAAATTGGTGACGAGGAGAGAGAACAGCAGTATGGTTATGTACATGCTGTGTCTGGTCCAGGTAAATTTAAAATAATATCATTGCTTTTTCATCATTGTTAATTGTTTGTAAAATTTTTAGTCGTTACGGCTAATGAAATGTCTGGATCAGCTATGTACGAATTGGTTCGTGTAGGTTATAGTGAACTGGTTGGAGAAATTATTCGTTTGGAAGGGGACATGGCTACCATTCAAGTAAGCACTACTAATATAATATGAGATGAGATTATAACGTTTTATATACAATTAGGTATATGAAGAAACATCAGGTGTAACAGTAGGTGATCCAGTATTGCGAACTGGTAAGCCTCTATCTGTAGAACTTGGACCAGGTATTATGGGTTCTATTTTTGATGGTATTCAACGTCCATTGAAAGACATCTGTGACATGACAGAGAGTATCTACATTCCTAAAGGTGTTAACGTTCCTGCTCTTTCAAGAACACAGAAATGGGAGTTTAGCCCTCTAAATATAAAGGTAAGAAATTTGTTTTGCATAGGGAATATATTGTTTTTAGTAACGTGTAATTAATTAATCATTGACTTTTTCAGTTGGGCTCCCATTTAACTGGAGGTGATATATATGGTATTGTACATGAGAATACCCTTGTGAAACACAAAATGCTTTTGCCACCTAGAGCCAAAGGTACAGTTACCTATGTCGCGGATCCTGGAAATTATTCTGTGGATGTAAGTTGAATTGCTACTTATTTTAATAAATGAATATCGTTATTTTTTAATTTTATTTTTAGGAAGTAGTATTAGAGACGGAATTTGATGGAGATCGTACCAGGTTCACTATGTTACAAGTCTGGCCTGTACGTCAACCTCGACCTGTAAGTGAAAAACTTCCAGCCAATCACCCACTTCTCACTGGACAGCGTGTACTTGATTCTTTGTTCCCGTAAGTACTGAAATTGTTCTCTAGATTGAAATTATATTTCAACTGAAAATCTTCTCTTTGAAGTGCTATTACTTACTAATTATTTTATAAATATGCATTGCTGCAGTTACTACTAATGTTTAAATTAAACATGATCGGCTAATACCTTATTATTCGCTTGTCTACAGCTGTGTGCAAGGAGGAACTACTGCCATCCCCGGAGCTTTCGGTTGTGGCAAAACTGTAATTTCCCAGTCCCTTTCCAAATACTCCAACTCGGATGTTATTGTCTATGTAGGTTGTGGAGAAAGAGGTTTGTGAAATGTCTTATAACAGAAATTCAATTTCTATATTTCTTGAAATCTTAGGTAACGAAATGTCTGAAGTATTGAGAGATTTCCCTGAACTGACTGTTGAAATTGGTGGTGAAACTGAGTCCATCATGAAGCGTACTGCTCTAGTAGCTAATACATCTAACATGCCTGTAGCCGCTCGAGAAGCTTCTATCTACACAGGAATCACCTTGTCAGAGTACTTCCGTGATATGGGTTACAACGTATCGATGATGGCTGACTCCACATCGCGTTGGGCTGAGGCTTTGAGAGAAATTTCAGGTAATTTTAATTTAATATTCAAGATCACATATTAGGAAAAAAATAAATAAATAATAGAAGTGACAGTGTTATGTAACGATTTTATCAGATATTGATAATTTATAAACACGTCCTAATTAAAGTGGATTATAAAAATTGTACAACATACATTCTGACATTAATGTTTATTAATATTTGTGTACAGGATACTTTCAGTTTAAATTCACTTATTGTACTGTTGTCGGAATCTAACGGTCGTCGAATTTTTCTCGCGATGCCACTTTCATAGAATGCATGCGTAAGATTTAGTATAAAAGTCGCTCGACTTCGGTATTCGAGAGAGTTGGTGTCTGACTCTGCAAGCGGACACATCGCGTATCTTAACGGAACATTTTCTTTTTATTCCATATTAGCACCGGCACTTCAACTGTGAAACATCGCGAAGATTTTTGCTTTTATTTTATTTCGGAATTAAGGAACACCAGGTGATCAGTTGTTGGTTCCAACAAATTGGTCACCAAAAGAATTCGTTAAGCTTCCACAAAGTCTGTTTTTAAAAAAAAAAAAGAATTCAACACTGCAATTTTTATTGCGGAGATAAATAAAATTATTTGCAGTGTAATTTTCATTACACTTAAACATCCTATGTCTAACAAGGGAATTACAACAAAAATAAGGGAAACTAAAATCCCGTAAATTAGCAAATCGACGAAAGCGAGTTAGGGCAGCCGTCGACGTCGTTCATCCGAGGTGTGGTCCCTGACTGCAAGTTTAGATGCGGTCTTGCGGCTGCTGTAACATCTGGACTTCGATGGGTCGTGCGTTCAGGCCCAGAATTTAAACATAAGTTCTATTTCGGGGTTATCAAATTGCGACAATAACAAAAATTATCAGACGCATATTTGTGGATTAAAATTAAAAATATATACTTATATTCGAATATGCAACAACAATTTGATAATACACAGACGTAGCGACGTTCAACGTGAGGCGAATATGCAATTAAAGAATAACGATATGAGTCGACACCAAAAAGTATTTCTTTAAATATGCTGAGTGATACGTCTGAAAAAGGAAGGATTTGCTTGTCCAGGTTTAAGAATATTTTCTCATACACATAAATCTGTAACTTTAAAGCCCACATTCTCAAGATACAGGGTGTTAGAGCTTTTAACACGTCATACTACACTCTATATCAAGGGTCGGCAACTGGCGGACCGCGGTCCAGGTCCGGACCGCGGAAGGTAAAATACTGGACCCCCAAAAATTTTTGAAAGTATAAATTACTCGAATGAATTATTTAAAAAATGTTTTTTTACGTTTAAGTGCCAACCTTATCATTTTTTCTAGTATTTTACAATTGTGTGAGTGTTTTGAGTTCTTAATGGTTAGTAAACAGATTAAATTTGAGTTCAAATGAAAATTTGTAAGAAATATGAATTTTTTTCTGGACCTCGTTAAAAATTTTTAAAAGTATCCGGACCCCACCTAAAATTACTTGCCGACCCCAGCTCTATATGTTCTACTATATTCCTGTGAATGTTTCTTTAAAAAATTTTAAACTTTTTACAACAGAATTTCCCAAATTTCATTTTTAATATATCCAAAGAAAAAAAAGAATAAATATAATAAAATATGAAATTGTCAAGTGGATTTGATCCTAATTCAATTTAAATAACTTACGTAAAATCTTTATAACTATTTCGTAACATACACAAACATGATATCACTTATGCTGCTTCTTACAGGTCGTCTGGCTGAAATGCCTGCCGATTCCGGCTACCCAGCTTACTTGGGTGCTCGTTTGGCTTCCTTCTACGAACGTGCCGGTCGTGTCAAGTGCCTCGGTAATCCTGACAGGGAAGGTTCGGTATCTATTGTAGGAGCCGTGTCTCCACCTGGTGGTGATTTCTCAGATCCTGTCACATCTGCTACCCTCGGTAAGAATTGGCATTATTTTTTAATTTGATTCGTTTAAGATGTATTTTTTTCGTCCATTTAGGTATCGTACAAGTGTTCTGGGGTTTGGATAAGAAACTGGCTCAACGTAAGCATTTCCCCTCCATCAACTGGCTTATCTCCTACTCTAAATATACAAGGGCTTTGGACGACTTTTACGACAAGAACTTCCCTGAATTTGTTTCGCTTAGAACCAAAGTTCGTGAAATCTTGCAGGTATGTTTTTTTTACCGCCACATAAATATTGCTAATTACGTAAATGATAAAAATAAGCGGGCAAAATCTTCTTCAGTCTTCTATTTTAGTTTTTTATTTTACAAACTTTTTTTCAAAGTTTTTTTAGAAAAACGGTATGGGTTCTGCGCTTTATTATTAAAATATGACCGCTTCATGCTCAGCTACTGTTGCAACATTTGAATTAACTCGCATCGGTTTGCGTTCAAACATCGACTTTTGAAAATTTCTCCGATGCACAACCACCTGTAAAACTATTTCTGCATAAATCATGTACTTTTTTTATCGATAGGAAGAGGAAGATTTGTCAGAAATCGTACAGTTGGTCGGAAAAGCCTCCTTGGCCGAGGCGGACAAAATCACCCTGGAAATTGCCAAACTGCTGAAGGAGGATTTCTTGCAACAAAACTCCTACTCCTCCTACGACAGATTCTGTCCCTTCTACAAAACTGTGGGCATGCTTAAAAACATGATTGGATTGTACGACATGTCCAGGCACGCTGTAGAAACCACCGCTCAATCCGAAAACAAGATCACGTGGACCGTGATCAGAGATTCCATGAGCAACATTTTGTACCAACTCAGCAGTATGAAATTTAAAGATCCCGTCAAAGACGGAGAAGCGAAAATCAAGGCAGATTTCGATCAGCTCTACGAAGATATCCAGCAAGCCTTTAGAAACTTAGAAGATTAAATTTTGAGTTTACAAATTTATATGGTAGCACCTTAGAATTGAGAGTGCAGATGTCCGATAATTTTGGAACATGAGTATTTTAAATGCAGATGTCCGAGTTTTTCAATTGTAAGGTGTGTAGTATTTTTAAATCAGGCCTCTACATTTATCTAATTGTTGTGTATATTTTTTAAAAGACCTGGCCATAAAGCAACCGTGGTTAAATAAGGGCTTCTCCTTCGATATTATTATGTACAGTGTATTGTAAATTAAGTAGATTAGTTTCGGACATCCTAAATTAAAAATCAATTGTAAATTTATTCCTTTCATTCCATTTATTTTTAAGCTTTTTTTCTTGATTTTGGTCGAACGTGGTGCTTATTACATATTTCCAGTATTATTTAAAATTGTTACGGTATATTTGCCTCTTTTGGAACAATTTACATGTTATAAAGCTGTTATATATTATATTTTATCATGTTTTTAACAATCTATCATGTATCTAATTATTGTACAGTTTACTAAATGTATCAGATATCAAGTAGTTTTAATTAGAGCGTTAAGTGTAGTGCAATTGTTCTATTTTGAACAGAAATAAATCCTTTGTTGTTTCTTCCCTTGCTTTGTATTGGTGATATAATCATGAATTTATACGAAGCAAAAGTAACCAGAAAAACTAATCGGCTTTAGTAACTTCTCAAACGCTAACTTCTTTAAAATTTAAGTTGCTACGGGACAAATTCTGTAATATCGCTAAGAAATAAAAAAATATTTAACAACCAACTTTTGCAATAGTCTCCGTCAAACACGTATGTTTATCAACAAAAAATGTAACATTTAAAAACATTGCATTTCGTAAACACTGCAAAATATTTTGTAGTTGTGGAAGGCCCTCTTTGCGTATGTAATCTTACTCTTAGTAAAAATGAAATAGTTACTTTATCACGTGAATAAAACTAATAAACTTGTAACGGCCTGTATTCCCATAGTTGCCGTTTAAAAAAAACATCACTAGGTAAATGGGGAAGAAGCATATTCTGTTGAAAATCAAAAGCTAACAGCTCCATCTCATCTTTGTTTGCCAAAATTTCAGCAGTATCTTCTTTCACTTTCGTATAAAAATAATTTGCTTTCTTCTCATGCACATGTTTTTGAGTTACTAGATTCCCTTTTACTTCTTCATTCTTTTCCACTATGAGGTTGTCCAGTCTGTCGCAAATCTGACAAGTGTCCGACGGTGGCTTCCCAAATGAGTAGTTATAATTTGATACAAAGTGCCGATAAAAATAGTCGTATGTAACTTGAGGCTTTACTTTTTTTTTTATCGTTCTGGATGGCAGTGTACATATCGGGTTCGTACTTTTGAAGATAAAGCTTATGCATATTTAGTTTACTTTTGAAGATAAAGCCTATGCATTGTTTTCATATTTAGTTCAGGTGACAAATAGAACTTATTTTCATTTTTGCTGCGACTGTAGTGCGACAATCTTTTTGGAAACACTGTATATGCGAATCAATTTGATGTATTACATCCTCACATATCATATTAGGGCGATTGGTGTGCTTTCCACGCATGTCTTTGGGTGCCGGAATGTTATCTTCTAGGTGTTTGATAATAAGTTCAACTTCTTTTCTTAGTAACACCATACAATGAACAAAAAGCATTTCTACAAACCCTATTTAAAGTCTTGCCAATTTTTATATTATAAACACAGAAAAACGTCTAACGCTAGGTCCAGGGTCATCGGGGAGAAAAATCAGGATCTCTGTCCGAATCATCAAATTGTTCGCTTGGACTATTGCTAGCCGACATTTTACAAAAACTATATTGTTCGACACACTCTCTAAATTTCATAAAATGCACAGAATAAAGTGAAGTGAAGGTTAATAGGTGCATCCAAACGGCTAAACTATGAACTATTCATTCGGTGCAAAAAGGAGGCAGCTCCGGAGCCATCTCCTTTTTGCACCGAATCTAATAAGGAGGCATCTATATTCATTGTACACTTATGAGTTAACGGAGCTGCCTCGTTTCTGCACCAACCGATGGATCGCCTTTGAATAAACTTGTAGCGATTAAAAATGAAAAATTGTAACTTGCAAGATTTTACCTAAATTAATATAACAATTTATTATATCATGATACTAATTTATTCAATCTCAGAAAAGATCCAAACTTATAAACATAAACAATTATATAAATCTTACACTTATAAAATATTTAGTGCTTACACTAACGATATACAACATTCAGCATATATACATGGTGTTCCAATTTACAGGTGTACAAGCCATTAATATAAATAGAAAATAAATGAATATTTTGTAATTAGAAAAATTAATATTTAATAATTGAAAAAATAATTGTAGGTCAAGCTAAGGGGGTGTAGAAGTGTTATTAGATTTCGGGTATAAAAATTATTAATACAAGTTTTCAGACTAAAAAGAAATAATTATAGCAGGCTTAGGATTTAGAATTGTAGCGGGTCACAGGGTGGTCTTCAAAAAACTAGTAGAAAAGGCTTAAGTGTCTTGGAGATATTAATAACAAGATGTCCCGTCCCACATAGAGATATCTAGTTCGCTAACCCTGAAACTCAGGTCTCAAAAAGGACTCGTTTGGTTTACTGATACCTTCAATCAGACGAGGGCTCAGTGGTCAGCATCTGTAGTGGAGGTGAATTTATTCTATCTTGCAAAATATGCCATAGTCTTTCAGGATGCAATTATTCATGTCTGCTTGTACACAAGAAAATATTCGAAGGAAATGATATCTTAATTAGCAGATTCAAATATGCGTAGCTATTTAGATAATAGCCTTACATGCGTTTTTGTATAGGATCAACTCGCATACGCTCATATAATATATCATGGCCTTGTATGGGGTAATTGTGTGAAGCTGATCTAGGTTCTTAATCATAGTGATGTAATGGGCAATAAAAAAACTGACATGTTGGTCATGGCAAAGCTGTCACAGTCAATTTATTGGGCCGAATGTATATCGTTTGCAGCATTAAACTTACTACTAGCGACATGCACAATGGGTCAAGTGTCCTGAATGCTGCAGGCTAGTAATGCCTGCTGCGTAAAACGCGCCTTTCTTAAAAAAAAATTACGTAATTTAATTAGGTCACGAGTTAATAACCTGTACATCTATAAACCGTTACACACTGTATAGCATTAAACAGCTGTCACTACTGTATTCTAATTAAAAAATCGTTACATAATGCCGAAGTCAAAACTGGAATCGTCAAATGTGTTTTGTTGGTTGTTGCCCGCATTGGGCATCTGTTGACCCATTTGAGGTCTTGGCCCATTTCCGCCCATTTGCTGCATGTTGATAAGCTGTTGTCTATACTGAGGTTGCTATAAATATGAAAAAGATAATGAAATATGAAATATTCTTTAATATACAACAAAAAAAAAACTAATTTGGAGTAAACTATGACTAAAAACAGGAAATAAAACTGATGTAGGAAGCAGTTCGGGAAGTAATCAAAATTGTATTATTTATTTTGATTCGTGTGGATACGTGGACACCTCTAAAGTAGGCAAAAAATGTCTAGTTCGGGGCAGGATATGATGACTTAAAGACAAACTCTTGAGTTTTTTAATTATGTACACCTACCTGTTGAAGTAAATGTCTCAATCCTGGATTATTGGCCATTACAGGTCTCATTAATCGTTGTTGTTGCTGAGCCGTTGCCGCTTGAGGATTACCTTGATTTGCCATTTGTTGACGTTGCTAAAAAAATTGAAAATGCCTCAGATGTTTCCTAAATTGTGACAGTATACCTACATTCTCAAGTATTTTGAACTGCATCTCAGTTTGCTGTGCAAGTTGCAACGCCTCCTGCAATTGCGAAGTTTTCATGTGACTAATCCTTTCCAATTGGCTTTTGTATTGCTGCTCTTGTTGTTGCGCCGCCTCCAATGTCTGCTTCAACTGGTTTATCTTTTCCAAGTTCTGTCTTCTTTCTACTTCCAATTGGTTCTCAAACGGAGCCCTTTGCACGGGCGTCTGCATCATACCCGGCTGCATATTGGGTTGGTTCGCCCCGGGCTGTATGCCCTGCATTCTGATGTTCGGCCTCATACCTCCAGGAGAGACACTTTGGCCTATCATGCCGCCCATTCCCTGTCCCGGCTGACCAGCAGAGCTGACGTTCTGCGTTATTTGTCCGCCACCCATAGCGATCGTGTTTGTCTGGGATATTAGCAAATTCTGAGTATTTTGTGAAGTCGCCGGGCTACCTCCTCCTATTTGTGGGGGTGTTCCTACTTGAGGGTTTATGGAAGGGCCTCCAGGACCGCCCTATAATACAAGCACCATAGTAAAATAGGTAATAATAATAAAAGTTTTTATTTATCGTACAGAATAGCTAAAAACAATTAGGAATTGGTAAATAACCTGTGTAACAAATAAAATGAAAAAACTTGTATAAATAATAGACAAATATAAAAAAACTTTTTATTAAAATTTGTTAAGATTTATTAGTTACCTGTCTCATTTGTTGTTGAGTTGATTTCTGTTGTTGAATCACTTTTCTCAGTCTATCAACAAAGGCAGCCTGATCATTTGGTATGAATCCAAGATAGGCTCTTTTATCTGCAGTATACAACAGTATGAGCACTTTAATTTCGCATGCTGAAGGAGGAATACTCGTAAAATGCACACAACCTGCCTAAAATAAGTTCATAGATACATGGTCTGTCATCATTAGAGTTCGAGACTCGGTCGGATGATCATAACTGTCGCGTCGGCCTTTTGCTACAGCGCATCATATGAAACCGGTAATAACGGCAGTTATTGGCCTTGGCTAAGTATTTTAATACTCTAATACTGTCGAACTCGCCAAGGGGTAAAAAACAACCTTTCGTTGATAAAGTACGAAAATTTATTTATTTTTGTTTATACCTACCTATTTATTTGTTTACGACGAACACACCTATGACTAGCCGACGAGAACCTCGAACTCTAATCATATAAAAATGATGAAAGATACAGGGTGGCTCAAAATAGAAGAAGAAAATAAAATCGAATATATTTCAACCAATTGTCAACTTTTTTCTAATTAAAGTCGCCCTGTATTTTTTATTATTTTCGACGATATCTCCAAGTGATTACAAAATAACTTACAAATCCTGAACTCATGACCCTAGTCAGTGATTCTAGTGCATCGCATGACTGTGGATGAAACAATACAGACTTGGAATTTTTTAAGTAAGCACCACCGATATTCCCAATCAGTTGCTTAGGCATTAGCTGCATGATAAGTTTCTGAGGCCAGCCATCTGCTTTCCTAAAGAAAACAGTATATTCCAAATACTCCAAATTATAATTATTATATAATTTATACAGGGTGTTCCTAAATAAGTGTCACAACGGAAAACTGTAAATTCCTCTTGAAAAAAGAAACATTGGTTTCCTCTTTTATTTTTCTCTCCGGGCTTTCCTTTTCGAGATACACGGTGTCAAAACTTTTTATTCCCACTTGATTATTTCTTATGGTCATGAAGAGCGTTGTCTATGAAACCTCTGTCAATACGGTCGATAATTGACCGCTAGGGTTGAAGCTACAGCGGAATAAATTGGAATTACCCATTAAATTATGAACAACGTTCATAGAAACATGATCCGAAGATGTATTGCGTGCATTTAAGCCAAAGGACATAATTTTGAACAGTTTTTGTAAATTTTAGTCGCTAAAGTGATAAAATATTTTTTTTAAGTTAAAATCCTATCTGTTGTTAAATTTCGTTAAAATTGTTAATTATTACTACCAATTTTTTGAATTACAAAAGATTCTCGAAACGTTAGCAAAATGTTTGTTTTGGTTCATAGTCATTTTTCTTGAAAACGGTTGACTTTAGAGCAATGAACCAGAAGAACTATTTTTGTGTAAAATTCATTGGTGCTTCAGAATTTGCTGTCAAATGTCAATTTTTCCAGTGGCGTAAAAGTTAGGCGGGAAAACCCTTACGATACCTTAAAATCTCCACCACCAATGAATTCGAGAATGGTGAGAAAAAGTAGCTATTAATAGTGGCAATGTGTGTACAAAAGCTCAGTCCTGTAGTTCAAACGGTTCCTAAGATATTGACAAAAAACTAAAAAAAAAATTTAAGTTTTGACACCGTGTATCTCGAAAATGAAAGCTCGGAGAGAAAAATGGAAGAGGAATAAATGTTTTGTTCTCCTAGAGGAATTTACAGTTTTCCGTTGCGACACTTATTTAGAAACACCCTGTATAATTATTATATATACACAAAACAGTTTTCACATTATAAAGGGGACTCACAGTTCTGGCTCTCCATCTTTAGAATTGGCAGACACTTGACATGGAACGTGTTTCGTAATTTTTTGCTGGTCGGAATTCTTCGGTTTTTCAATCCATTCAAGCAAGCCTTGCCAAATTGTGTGTCTTTCCCTTACGTTACCCATTTGTTGAGGTTGCCCCTGCGGTGGATTCTAAAAAGTAAAGAATGTTGCGAAAACTTAAATTTAATAAATACAAACTACTATAAATGGAAAACTATTTTACCTGAGCTTGTGAGGTAGCTACTTGGTTGGCCTGTGACACTTGCGCCATAGAAGTCGATATTCCTGGCTGGTTCTGAGACATGGAAGTTTGTACATTTGGCTGGTTCATATTCATTTTATTTAATGGCGAACTGGCCGACACTGCAACAATATTATGTGAGATATAAATTTTTTGTTACACACCCTAAAAATTCGTATATACTTTGTCCAAATTGATTGACTCCTGTGCCTGATATAGACGATGGTGGTTGGGTAAGCTGAGCAATAAGGGCACTGCTTTGTGTAGTATTCACTTGTTGATTTGGTTGCTGCAAGTATGGTCTTGGCTGCTGCGAGGGTGGGGGCATCGTCCAATGAGGAGAAGTCCGGGTTACATGACCTAAACAGTATACAAAGATGTAAAGATCGAGGAAAAGCTTAAGCCAAGTTTTTTAATTTCTGATTTATGAACCATTGAAGAATTTTTGCATAAACTATTTTTGTATTCATGAGAACAATGAAAGGTAGGATATATACTCATATTATATTAATTCTAATAGGACAGCTTACTTTTTAAATTTTTTTAAATATAATCCGAATTATATACAGTATTTCATCTAACAATGTTCAGCAAACATAAAATATATCTTAAAATATAAAATGGATGTTATAAAAAGATTAGATGATGGAGAATCTTGGAAAAACATTGCTTTTTATGAAACTAGAAGGGTTTTTATCATCATAAATTGTTATATAAAAATATACAACCAACCTTATTCTGGATTAGCAAAGTTCTACCGCATTTATAAAACCATTTATTTTTTTTTTGAATTGCACTGATTATAAAAAACCAACCTGTAGCGTGATAACCAGGAGGAGCTGGCACCTGCATAAGGGGCATCTGATTGGTTCCCATCATTCTTCCTGCAGCTACATTTACTTTTTGATTAGGTACGAGAGGTTGATTCATTCCTAAAAAATATATAAATCGTTTTTTTATACACACTAATTCATGAAACAAATACCTTGCGCTGCTGTTGGTCTATATACAGTGTTCTGTCCTACGCCCGCTGCCACACCCGCATTGCTATTGCTCACAAGTAAGTTTGTATTGGGCTGACTGGTTCCGGGTATTGGGCTGTCGCTTCCCTGCAACGGACTAGGGAGAGACGTTATCGGAATACCTGCATTTTGAATTTGGGTTTGACTTGGGGTAACGTTGCCTGCTGGCGGGCTGATGGGTCTTTCTTTCAGACTAGAAATGAGGTTAAAAAACGTCATTTAATACAAAACTTAATTTAAAGAAATGAATTCTTACCTAAAACCCTTAAGTAAAACTAAATGCCTAGGGTCTTTAGCATAATTCTTAGTTTGTGAAGATGTTAAGTCTCCACCTGCTTTTTCGAATAGCTTATACAGAGATGGAATTTTTCTGGGAGATATCACAGACAGATTAACATTTTTCTGCAATAAAAGTATATGTTACACTCCCATTTAAGTCATAAGAAACAGCATACTTCTTGCAAAATTGCTGCTAACTGCTCAGCCGTTTTTCCCGAATAAACATGGGACTCCAACACAGGAAGAAGATATGGTGGAGAATTGCATATTAGAATGCAGTGTTTTTGCACTGTAGCAGAAGGGTCTCTTTTCTGTTGCAGTTCTTCAAAGCAATGCAAAGCAGTCGCTAGTCCTTCCACAATATTAGAATGAGATTCACCTTTTCCACCTATAAGACTATAATAAAATATTAACGTAAAAGTAATTAAAATGTTACATATCTATTACTCTAATTTATCGATAGCATTTAACAATTTTGTGGGGGTTGAAAATGGACCAAAAGTGTCACTACAGAGACGTGGCAAACAATCCACAGCATGATAAACTACAATGCCGTATATTGTATTTGCATTTTCAGAAACATAATTAGTGTCATCAATGTTTCCTTGACTGAAATACCTGCAACAAAAAAATATGTTTGTATAACCCTAGAAACAGTTTTGAATAAATTAATATGTAGCGTAAGTTCAGTTATTAATTTTTTTATCAAAATACAGCAAGGTTTCACTGAATACTCAGTTCCTCAAACCATACTCAATTATCCGTTCAAAATCATCATTAAAAACAACTTCTTCTGTACATAAAATATATTATTTAGTAATATTTAGTAATAAGTATCCTTGCCTTAGAAGTTATATACATAAACTATACTTACTCTAATGAGGGTATAATATAATTTGTCTTGATGTCGTTTATATATGCTCCATTTACTGCTGTCCCTTCTATAATGAAAATAACATCAGCTTGTAATCCATGTTCTGTAGGGCACAAAACCATTTTATTTAATGTCTGAAATATTGGTCATCAACTTGTTGAATTGGTTTACCAATTACAGATAAGTGAACTACCACTATATTTGTAATCGACGTATCTAGATACAAGCAGAATCATAAAGAAATGTCTCTTATCTATCGACAAAATTTATCAAAATCGAAATTGATTCCACTATTCAAAAAATTAGTCGAAGTCGAAGGGTTGTCAATGTCAATATGAATAAATTGTCATTGTCAAAAATGTCAAATAAGTTATTAGGTTATGTAGCCAACCATACCAAAAATAACTACCCTGAAGTACACGGAAAAACCCTACATTGGTAAGATTTGTTAAATTTCCGTGTTCTTCCGAGTCTAATTGTAAGATTATCCCCACATTACCCCACATATCACCTATAAAAAAACGGCAGCGGCATGGAACTAAATAAGATAAAAATTTTTAGTTAATACAATAATAGTTAATATAAAGTTTAGTTAAAGATAAACTTTGTTTAATTAATAAATATTGTTAATGACAAAAGTTACCTTTATAAATAAACTTACACCACAAATGCAAGTTAGAGAGTTAGTCTACTCTGCATAGATTATATAGGCGCTAATAGTTATTAATTTGGTTTCGTTGCAAATTCCAGCTAGGTACGCTCCAGACATCGAAATTTAAACATTGTTCGAATAATGTATTGACATTATTAGCCTAAAATAGTCTCCAACCACTAAATAAGTAAGCATTATCGAATCAAAAGTAATTTTACATATTAATTCCATATTTCGAGTATAAGTATATGCTCGAAAAATTTCATACGAAATAGAGGCCAGTTTCTATAAGAACTAAACGAAACATATAGCACTGGATTAGCATTCAGTGTTTTATATTGTTTATGAATACAGTCAAAATGAGTTGACTAAGCATGACTGTAAACTTTTGGGAAATAATAAATATAATATAATAAACAAAAAATCGAAATAAGCATAAGCAATAAATCGAATAAATTAGGTAAGTAATTTTCAAATGCACATCGAAATTCAATAAATCTAAAAATATATTATGTTGTGGAAAAGAAAACATCACAAGAAATAAAATTTTCTTTTTATTAATCACATTATAAGCAGATTAAGTACCATTGAAATTTGAACATTTAAATTTTGATGATGTCACAATTTTAGATTCGGTTATGGACGATACGTTCCCAAAAAATGGGTTAGTATGTCCACATAAATTTTAATTATAGCATTTAATACTGTACTTATTTTAATGAGCCGAAGTCAACACAGAACTAGTGAAATTAATTTAGATTCTTCTTACATAAAACAATACTATTTCCTTTATTGGGATTATTTTATGTATACCAGTCAAATAAATATTTATTGGATAATTATTTTAAATTTCCCGCTTTATGTAAAAATATATACCCGCTATTTTTTACTCGACGGTGCTGCCATCTCAGCTTGACAAGCTTTTGTACCGCTACAGTGCGTTTGCTAGTTTTAATAATTTGTCAGACAAATTAAAGTTATTTATTATTATTTAGGAAAAAACAGAATCTGCTAGTGACCACTACCAAAGCATAACGAGATCGTTCTACGAGTGTAGTCTTTCAAATGAAGCTTCTGTTGTTAGTGTGTTTGAGTTAGCAAATGACGCATTGCCTAGAAGTAGCCGACATAAAGTAGCAAATGCCCATGGACGGAATATTATAATTAAGGACCGAGCACAGTACAGTAATTATTAGTGAAATATGGATGCAATTAAAAAATCACGTGGGAAACCTAAATCTTCGATATCAGAAAATGATGCTACTCCAACAGAGAATGAAGTAGATGTAACGGCGCCAAATTTAAATGGCGATAAAAATGACCAGGAAATTGAAAATAAGAAAGATGAATCTGTAGCTGATAGTGATGAGAAGCTTAAAGAAAACGAAAAACTAGATGAAAAGATGAACAGTGACGAGGCAATAATTGATCGAGAGAAGACGAAAGGAAAAAAACGTAAAGCTAGTGAAATGAAATCGGAGGATGAAAATGCTAATGAAGAGAACGTTAAAGAAAAGGAGGAGCCTAAGGTTCCGGTAGAACCAGAAATTAATAAAAAAGGTAAGTAAATTCATTTACCTAGTGATCAGGAAAATGTGTTTGGAAATGCTAAATGTAGGTTTAATAATGTAATACTAATTATTGTTTGTCAAAATGTTTCATTTTTTATATAGTTACTTTAGAAATGCATGCAAATTTTACTGATTTTGACATAATGTACACAAAACGAACATAATTTCAAAGACCAAACAAATTATTATAGCGAAAAATACTTAATGAGTTTTGCTTTTTCAAGTTTTATTATTTTTAGGAACTTCATTAAAATAATTAAAACATAATTCTATTTTGTTACGATGTAGATTTTAAATTCCTACTGATAATACTGATAAGATAAAACTAGTTTATATTTGTTATTATTTCGATGTAATGAATTAAAACTGAGTTTGTGGTGTAGCTTACATAATTATATGAAATTTTATATTAGTGTTAAATAATTAAAAAAATCAAACAAATGGTTGTATAAAATTTATTGAAAGAAATAAAAACAACTTTTTATCTTCCTTTTTCTATTCTATTCAATTTTTCATAGAGGACTATAATTTTAAAAGTGTTTTATCTACAGTTGAGCTACGTAATAAATTTGTAATCACCGATATGCAATTTTTCATTCACTCAATAAAACCTGTGAATGTGAATTTGTAACAAAACATCATGGTCACTCATAAGCAGTGCTTTTTTTAGTTGACATTAAAATAGAATCACACTTTGTATTTTTATAGACGATATTTAGGTTCATATCATTATTGTCAACGAATGTAAGAAAAAATTCTGAAAACTACATTTTCAATTCACATAAAGTGATTTTTTGCTCATTTCTATTTTTTTTTTTATAAAAATTATGGTTCGCTGATGGAATTGTAATATTTATATATACCGGGTTGGCCACGGATCAACTACAAAGCCTGCATGAATGAGAAAGAAAAGAATAAGTTAAATGTTTCTAATAAACATTGTGTTACAGAATTTCTGTACCCATGCTACGCCTGATATTTCCATCTTTGTTTAACCGCTAGAATCTCCTTAGTCGTATGCAGTTAACTGCTTTGTAATCCCAGGCTAGTCATCCCCGTACATATTCATATATTTGCTACTAGCAGTTGCATTATTGGACTATTACAAAAACAATAAAAAAACAGTTGTACATGATTACAAGTTACAGGCTAATAATCAGTAAAAATAATGTGTGCATATGGTTAATATAATGTAAAACAGTACATGATATAAAGTGCGAAATATGCACTATTTTCTTGCTATACTTGAATTTCTTAGGTAATTACAATTATAAGAATCAGAATGACCATTTTCGTATTACAATTTCATCAGCGTATTTCCAGATACTTCCAGTAGAATTTTGTTCATATAAGTTAATGTTGGTGTAAGTAAAATATTTACATTATTGAAAAGTGTATGTGTCGTTGGGTTATGATTGTAAATAGGAATATTTTGTGTATTTTAGATGAAACAAACGATGACCTCAATCTCCCCCCTAAGCAATCACTTGGAAAAGGGAAACGAGCCCGAATTCCAAATAAACGTTATAGTGACATTATACTTTCACCAAGTGTTCGTAGAAAATCAACTGAAAATGGTTCCGAAAAAATTGAAGCAGAAAATGATTTATCTTTGGATGTGTCAATTAAAGACGAAAGTTTTGGATCTACTGTTTCATCACTTAAATCAAGGACGTCCACTGGAAGTCCATCTCACCCATTTAAAAAACAAAAAATTTCTACCGACTTATCAGATCCCAAATATTTGAAACCTTTTAAATTTGGTTGGAAACGCGAACTGGTATGGAGAGCCACTAATGATAATAATAGTAAACGTAATGGGGACATTTACTACTATACACCTTCTGGAAAAAAAGTACGTTCCATGAGAGAAGTGGCAGAAAATTTAAAAAATAAGGAACTGACGCTGGATAACTTCACGTTTTTTAAAGAATCTCTTGGTATTGATAATCCCGAAAAAGAAATAATTAGGGATGCCAAAAATAAGGCTGGTCCAGTCACTTTGGCAAAAAAAGTAGTAACGAAAGCTATTAAATCTCCTAAAAGTCCCAAATTAACGAGTTCTAGCCCAAAAATTTCCAGTCCGAAGATATCATCTCCTAAAATAGGAGGAAATGAGACTGCCGACAGTCCTATTTTAAAAACCAAAGCTGCTGCAAAGTCCCTAGGTAATTTTAAGGTAATATCTTGTTTATATCTATTCATTCTAATTTGATACTTTATAATTTAAAAATTATTTTTAAATAGCTGTTAAAATTAAGTAATCCCTGATTCTATGACATAACTATTTTATTGACATACACTGTTGCAGATTAAATTACCAAACAAAAAGGACAAAAAGGCGACAAAATCTGAAGAGGAAATGGAAACAGATGTTACACCTGTTAAAACCACTCCTAGTAGAAAAGCTGGAAAATGGTCAAAGTAAGTATTATTTGCTAGACATATTTTTTCCATCTTACAGTTCTTTGAAATACTATTTATAGCCTTCGTGATTGATTTCATTTAATATTTCTCATGTCTTTCAAATCCTTTAATAGGATGTACAAGTTTTCCTGAGATTTTTGTATTAATTTTTTCTTTAAACGCTCATTTATACTTGCATTGAAATAACTTTTTGTTTGATCAACTCGGCACTAATTTATCATTGATTTGTTAGAATTAAACGTGTTCATTATGTATAAGGAAATTTTTTATTTCAAGATAATGCTTACGGTCTGTATGCTCCAAGAAATGAGACAAAGGAATTTGATAGGTGTGTCCTAGCTGTTTTTAAGGTTGTCGATTGTGGTCCTAGCAAAAATTTCTCCATATTCCAAGGATTCTTTACCTTGTTTTCTTAGAGCGTGCGAACTATAGTCGATCACGTTTTAACGTATTTATTACTGGTTGGGTTAGATATGGAGTAAATTCAAAATAAAATTAATTATCTTATAGATAGTTACAAAAATTAACAATTTGTTTTAATTTTTGCCGCTTTGCATCTAACATTTATATTTTTTGTGGTTACTTATTTCTGTGTTTTCAATTTTAGAAAAATTGATATGGTGATCTATTTATGAATTTGCCGTTATAGTAATAAAATATAAATAGATAAACGTATATTGATAGCAGATAAAAAACATTGCCGAGTTAATCGACAATAATGTTCACTTCAGTTGGACATGATAATCTGTTTTCGATGTATGCCCCTTATGTCAACTATGTGACAAAAACACTAGTACACAAAAATTGAAAAAAATTAATTTGACCGTCAGTGCAACAGCATTGACAAAAGTAGAAGCGCTATAAAAAAGTTTAAATGTTGTTTTTTTAAGATTTACAAAGAAAGAGGGAGGAAAAATGGTAAATTTTTTTGTGACCACCCTGTACATACATTTTAACTGCACTTATACTTAAAATTTTTTATTTTCAAAAATTTTGTTAAGTGCTAAATTTTATAATCACTTTCAATCCGTTCATAGTAGAATTCCCAACTACATTATGTTTAAAATCGGAACCGTTTAGTTTACTTAAACAAAAATGTACCATTTTGATATTTCCAAATTTATTAGAGCTTTTAATTAAATTTTAAAATTAAGTTTAAATACTTTGTATGTACATATTTTTTAATTGGAATTTCTGAATTTTATAAATAAAGTATGTTGTAAATATTTTAGAAATGGTAAAACGTACACATATGGTCGTTAAGTATTCACAAATTATCTAGTGGTTAATATTAGCTCTTTCTTTTATTTGTTTATACAGGGTGTTAGAAGTTTGACTGCCATTACTTCAGCATGAGATAGAGTAATCATAACAAAAAAAAGTAGTATATTACAGGGGCGTAAGATTCACAGTTTTCAAAATACAGCGAGTATTAATATTGGGAGTTTTATCACGTGACAATAGCGCTTAACCTGCTGATGCACACCACATGTACACATAGCAGACTTGTTCTATGGAAAAAATGTAAACAACTACAGTGGAAATCTGTAATAACGACCTTCAAGGGACCGTTTGTTTACAGTTGTTATAATCGATAGACGTAATAAGCAATTACATATATTTTATTTAAAATTTTTATAGAAAAAATGAGAAATTTACAATACAAGTTTTTAAGTATGTACATATATTGTTTTGTGTTCAAAAAATCTCGCACGCTTCATTTTCTATTAATTGTTTACGAATAGAGACTATCCTTCCAAATTGTTGAAATTGTAGTGTGACACGCCACATTCTTTTGCTTGCTTGCATTAGTTTCTATGTTTAATTTCTATATTATATGTGATTTTTCTTCTTTATTAAACACTTTTCTTCTCGACATTGTCATAGAAAGCAGTAATTAATTCATATAATATAACTGTATGTGTAGATAAGTCGTAATTTGCCCCAAACGTATTAACTGGTGTCAAAAGCGTAGACGTCGGCAGGGTGGGCGGAAGAGCGGTATGTGCATTGGTTTTAAGACCATATATAACTATTGGTCCTTATAACCGACAGATTCTATGATAAATGTATATAAAAACGCGTCGCTAAATCCGAAATTTTGTTGTAAACGGTGTCGTAGTAAACGATATTTTTAATATGGTTTTCTATAGGATTAAATCGGGACTTCTAAATTCCGTCGTTATATCCAATATGTCGTACAAAGCGATGTTGTTATAACCAATTTTCACTGTATTATTGCGAAACATTTAGTAAATTTCAAGACAATTGTTTTCCAGTTTTTAAATAAATAAAATAAAATGTATCGATTTTGTAGCACGAAGATAGTGATGTGCTTAAATTTTAGCTTGAATTTTAGTAATTATGAATCTCTTAAAACAGAAACTTAACTTTTAATCAAATTACGTATTTGAAAAATATGTAATTAAAGTACCCAAAGATTCATGTCGTCCAAATAATCATATGTATTAAAAATAATTTAGGTACTTAGCAAAAAGCAAAATTCAGTCATTTTTAAACGCACAAGTATAAAAGAAGCTACAACATATGCTCAAATTGTCCACCACCATTTTCGATGCACTCACGACACCTTCGAATCCAAATTTTGCGCACTCTGGAAAACGCCTCAAGAAAAGGAAATAGTGGTACGGAAAAAAACACTCCGACATGGTCGAATCCAGATAGCAACTGAAATGCGTATTGGTGATTGCTGAACACCTTAGTACCTCGTATTAATAAACTGCCACGCCGTTGTCATATTGCTCAATATGAATTTTATTACGGTAATTATTTTTTAGAATTAAGCATAAAGTTCAAAAAAGTGATAAACATTGTATTTTATGGTATTCTATGCACGCAATTATGTCAATATTCGTTAATTAATCGAACTTTTATATATCGAGTTGAGACTTTGATAACTTTTTTCTCGGAAATGGTTGAGTTTAGGACCCTTGTCATATCAGGCTTTTTTGTTTATTTTAATGTATTCTATTGTCTGTTAAATTTATGACAGTCAAATTTTTAACGCCCTGTACTTTAAACAGTTGTTTACATATGCTGTAGGTCTAGCATTCATTTTTGACAACCATATCTGAAAAAAGTTTAAGTAATTTGTTTTCCACCATTATGAAATATAGAAACATTAATTCTGGCAGGTTTACAGTAAAAAGAAAACAAGTATAACTTAGCGATGAATACACAAGATCATGAATCAGTGAAATATCACAATTAAAATAAAAATTCACAGAATCGTATCATAAATATGTCGCCTACAAATTGTGTCAAATATTTGCAAAATATAGAATGTGAGCATAGTATTTTGATATTTTTNAGTTGTGTCAAATAATTGCAAAATATTGAATGTGAGCATAGCATTTTGATATTTTTAAATGATACTATATGAAAGTTCGGCACAACTTGTTGTCATACCTATTTATGTGATAATTCGCTACTGTTGTGTCTATTTTATTAAAAATTTTTCCGCGTAACAAAATTATACTGAAAAAAAAAAAAACAGATTAGAAGGAATAATTTGTTAAATTTTAAAATATTAAGTTCAAATGGATTAGACATAGGGTAGTTGAAAATATGTAGTATTTTTTCAATTTATTCATAAGATCAAAATAATGAGGAATATATGGTATACAGGAAATTATAGGTAGAGCAGCAGCTGTTTTATAAGATACATAGGTTTATTTTTAAGTTACATTAGAGGGTGAAATGTTTAGTTAACACCTACATAATAAGCAGGTTAACATAACTCATAATTTTGGTAACTAGTAAAATCCAGTATTTAACCAGGAAATAACTCATTAATTCAAAAACCGAGGTTTATATATAGTTTCTTATTGAAAGCTTTTTGCTGTGTTGTGATCAATTAAATTATTTTAATAGTTTTTTAATTCAGTATCTCGTATTCTTTCTGCTTTTTAAATAGTATCTAATATACATTTTTTTTCTAATACTTATCTAATATAAACAAAATGAATTAACAAATACCATTATAAATAGTGTTTCAAGAGGCTCTGTTTAATCTTAAGATTTTGTGTTACTGTATTGGAAGTAGTTTTACGCCTTATACTCTACCCCACTTTTAGTAACCTCCCCCTTTTCCCATTATCTGAATCCAGAAATATTATAGTTTTAACAGTGATGGAGACAAGCCATGTCAGCCGTGTTCTATAAGGTGTGAGGGGGTGCATGGTATTATTCCGACGCTGCAATGTCGTCTATGCCTTTGTCTATACCACCACGAATGTGTGGGACTAGTGCCCCACCTGACATTACCATACGTCTGCAAGGTACGAGAAGAAATGTTATAAAATATTATTTACCTTGATGAAGTTAACGATAAACGAGGAATGTTTATTAGGAGTGACGTACGGGTTTTGTGCATGTTTAACTGTCGTCAAAAGGCTAGGCTGTTCGACTGTCCATCAGTATTTCTGTCTTTTTGTTCTATGTAATGCAATTTTGTTTTTTATAGAGGGTGTTTTTAAAAAGGATGCCGTATAGTCAGAGATTGATAATTTTTTCTTATGGACTACGTACGGGTCTATTGTTTTGTTTTCTAGGCATAGGACGTGTAAAATGATTTTTTTGAATCAAATTTTAACTGTCCAGCATCCTCAATAACTTATTTGCACCACATTTTAATGCAATACACTGTTTTTCGACAAAGATAGGACCAGAATTTTACAACAAAGAAACAATAGGCCCATACTTAATCCGTAAGGAATCATCTTAATTTTTGATATTCTGTCAGCTCCTGAATTCAAGGCAGCTTTCTTAAAAACACTATACATCGTATATATTTCTTTTCGAAATTCTCAAACTGACAGTATTCCCAGTATATTCCAAACAAAATCAGTACACTTGTCAATTCAACTTGACAGCGTGACAAACCTAGGGAAAAATGTAGTTTTATGGATTCACGGGGCATTTTGTTTTAGTAAATTTTATTAACGGGAGTTTGATATTACTACAGAATTGCAAAATTATTAAAAAAAAATTGTTTTAAAATTAGACGTTCATGTTTCGGCATATTGTTCTCGGGGAAAGGATTATATCACAATTTTATTAAATGTCTCTTCAAATTAAACTATTTATTGAAATTCATTGCTAATAAACGTTCCTTTCTGAGAATATTTTTTATGGGTGCCTAATTTAAGATAAGTAACATTTCCGATGACAGAGAGTAATTGTATTTATTCTTCTGCAGAACTGTCACCTAGAACAAGGCCAGAAACCCAATCAGTCTACGACAATTGTAGCTCCACCACCTCTAACACCTATTAGCACTTTGAAATCGTCTGGGGCACAATCCAATGTTTTACCTAAACTTCAACGAATTCCTCGTCCTATCGATCCACCCTATCCACAAGAATCATTACTAAGCAACGATCAGTTGCCGGAATTGCCTCGTTTGACTCCTAAACCGCAGCTGTTACAATCTGCTCCAGTTACTACTGAATCATCGTTAAATGTTCAGTCTTCCACGGAAAACAAATCTCTCGTTGGCTCAGTCACTACTTGGTTACCGCACAATTCCAAAATTGTAGATAATATTCAGAGAACCAGCGAGGAACCCACCGAGGTTCCTAGGCCGCAATATGTGGAATTCTTAGGTGGGAGAAAGTTTCTCGTTATACCCAAACATAATTTTATGTCAGTATCTCCTTCAGTGGCTGCTACAGCCATAAGTAGGCCAAATAGTAATAATGTTTCGGAAGCTGCGGAAACAACAACAGTTCCCACCGATTCGGCTAGTTTAGGACCCGAGACTGACGTCAATGTTAAACCCGAACCCGAATCCCCCTCTAAACCAGAAAATACCCAAACCCCTGAAGCTATGGAGGTCGATAACACACCCAGTGAGCCTGCCACTACAATGGAAGTGGAGCAAAAGTCTGGTGAAGATGGGAAAGTTGTGGATGAGAGTCCAGAGTGAGTGTTCCATTTTTCTTTTACTATTTTCTAATATTACTTCATATTTACAGGCTTTACCATCTCCCATTTAAAATCCCTCTGAGCGTAAACTATTCCAATACACTGACATAGATAATACGTTTCACTGAACCATAATTTAATAGTATAGGTCTTAAATATTAGGTACTTAAGTCAACTTGTTCCATTTTTTACAGGTAAACTGTCGAAACAAATATTTATTCTTGCGCTAGTGACTGTTTTCTCAACATTATAAAAAAACTTGCCATAGTAAAGACCATTAGAAATTGCTGGTAGCAAATCAAAATGACAATTATTTTCTACACTTTCTGTAAAGCATTAGCAGCAAAATGATTGTAGGTATTCTTAGTAAAAAATTTTAGAAAATCTGACTTAGTAAATCAGTTTCATAAGCCAGTGATATAAATTATGATTTTCAATATATTATAATATGCCAAAGTGCCAAAAAAAGAAAAAGAATTATTTCGATAAAAACATTTTTAAAAGTTTAAAGAAGTGTAGAATTGTCTTAGCAGCTGTAATTTTTTTCGTTAATATTTATTGACAATTATATTTAAATATTATCTATTTATGTTTAAATATATCCAATATTCAATGTATATTTGTTACTAATCGAAAAAGTAAAAATTGCTTTATTGATTAATTTTCACGAGGAACTCAATTTTTTAATCAGGAAAATAATAAGCACCTTCATTGATTTTCTGATTAAAAAAATTAAGTTCCTCATGAAAAATTAGTAAATAACGCGATTTTTGCTTTTTCGATATCGTCGAAGACAACGAAGTTACAGTATAATTTTCGTGGGATGATATTTTATTCTACTATGGATGCGTTTTTCTGCTTGGTAACTGTACAGTGTCGGTCCTTTGAAAGTAGAAAACTCTTATAAGCAAATTGTCTATAATTGGCCTTTGTGAAGCTGACTTGAAAATGTGAGGTTCAAATCGGCTGTCATTATGTCAAATTTAATGTGTGTCTATCATACTAGTTCTAGTGAGCAAAACAAGTCCAAATTAGGTAGGAAATTATTTATTTTTCCAATACTGAAATATATTATACATTCCAACGGCCATTCATTCGCCGTCAACGAGATCTAAAAATTAAACACTTTTCGTTGTCAGAAAAACGCGATTCGTAAAGCTAGTATTTTGTCAAAGAACCATTTTTGTCTATAACACTGCAATCTACATGGCATTGACAAAATTAATGTTCTTGTAATAATTCTTAGTGATATTATCCCATGCGTTTTCAATTGCCTCCCAAAGTTCTTCGATGTTAGCTGGACAGAAGTTTCTGTCGTAAATTTTTTTCATCATATATCCCCAGGCGTTCTCGATAGGAGTGAGGACAGGGGACTTTGAGAGCCAAGGTAAAACATCGATGTTGTTATCAATGAACCATTCTGATGCAACTCTTGAGATGTGAATTGCACAATTATCCTGCTGGAAAGTAAAATTCTGTGGATACAGCATGGTCACGGATGGTAACATAACTTTTACCATTATCAGTCCAGTGAGGCGCTCTTCTATCCTCCAACAAACACCAGGACCTTGGCAACTTATCCAAGCCCAAATGTTAATGGAGAATCTTCCGCTGTGCTGTATGGGTTTCACATAAGACTCAATTAAATTATTCTGAAGTAAAGTTATAGTTCTCACTTTCTCTGGTTCCGTTGAACGCGGCGTCTTGAATTACCAAGCAAATTAATAATGACACTGACATATAACTTGTCATAATAAGAAAAGTAGACCACATCACATTAGAAAAATAAATTGTCCACTTTCAAAGGGCCGGTGCAGTGTACTTAACAAATGCGATATATAGTGATTTAAATGTATTTGTTCTTTAGTCCTATCTATTACGATACAATAAATTTTTTTTCTTTCTTTTCCAGGGCAACCGAATCACCCATAAAGGCAAAGAAACGTACAAGCAAACTAGGCAGCATAACAAATGCCGAAGAAAAGGACGAGTCCAAGTTCATGGATAATTACTTACAGAACCTATCGTACGGATACAATACTCTGCTATATGTATTCCAGTACCTAAAGGTGCAGGATTTGTTAAGAGCCGGGTGTGTTTGTACAATGTGGCGGGATATAGCAAGTCATCCTATGTTATGGAGGACAGTTCGTATGAAAAATTCCCAAGTGCACAGCTTCGAAGGGCTTGCGAACACGCTGAAGAAACACGGTACCTATCACTTAGACTTACGTAAAATGCTCCTCCCGACGGGGGGCGACGAAATATGGCCGCAATTCTCGAAAGCCATAGAAAAAGTTGACACGTTGAGGAGAATAGAGTTGTGCAGGTGTCCCGCTTCAGTTGTTGAAAAATTGGCTGTGTCCAATCCTCAGTTGGAGGTTATCAATGCCGTGACGATTAAGTGTGAAAGCATGGACTTGGAGCCATTGAATGCTCTGACAAACATAAAAGAGTTGCGTCTGAAATCCACGGGGGGGCTGACGCTCACTTCCAACATCGATTCTTTAAAGGACATGAAGTTTATCAAGCACCTTTCACTAACTTCCATCAGGGATTTGAATACAATGAACTTGAGCGTCATCGCTGGCCTCACCAATTTGGAGTCGCTGGATTTGGGTGAATGCACAGATTTTCCAAGAAACTTTGGGAGCGATATACTCGTCAAACTCGAGAAGCTGGAAAAACTCAGGTTGGAAAAGGGACAGGGGAATTGCCACACATTCGAGATACTGGATGCAGTGAAAGACATGAATCATCTGGAGCAGCTGGAATTGGTTAACTTTGACATAAAGGCAGGGTTCGATAAGGCTCTGGGGGCCTGCCAGAATATTAAGAAGTTGCTCATCATACCGACGTATATCTCTCAAAGCGCTACTACTAATCACATGGTCTTGGGCGGAGTACTGCGACTGCAGAAGACATTATCACATTTCGTGTGGGGCGTAACATTGGAGTTGCTGAGGGTGACGGAACTTTTCGTGGACCAGTGCGAGGAACCCGATAAGAAAGACAAGAAAGAAAAAAAGCCCGTGGGGAACGGAGACAGCATTCCCGTTTTGAAGCCGGTACCGTTATTGAACGATAGAGAAAACGAAATCGCCCCGGCGCACGATCCCCCCCAGGTGGAGATACTGCCGCTACCAAATTTACAGAAGTTATTGTTACAGAGTTTGCCCACCACGAGAGTGAAGATATTAAAAATCCCCTTTCACGCCACCTGGCGGCAGAGCATAACAGATTCGGTGAATTAGCCATAGCAGTGTTTTGTCTACAAATTTGTTCTAGGTTAGATTCTGTACTAATAATGTAAGAATTAGCTTAGAGTACGAGTATTTCCTTTTAATTATTTTGATAGTTTAGATTTGTACATTTTACGTTGTATGAGAGGTGATTACCTTTGGTTATTTCATTTGGAAGGTAATGTAAATAATACATATTGTCCATATAGTTTGGTCGTGCTTTTTTTTATTACTTCCGTTATTATAGATGGACTATTCATAACTGAAAATTTTTATTTTCGGTCTCGACAAAGTAAATTATTGTAAACTTTTCAATAAATATTTTTTAAAGTTTCCAATTTTTGCTTTGCTTTTATTTCTGCACCAGTTTATACCTACCTAGAAACTTCAGGGGTAACACCACTGTAAAATGCTAAAATGAAGTCTTATTGCAATTTTTTTTTTTTAGCAAAAGGAAAAGATAGAGGATAATAATCAAGAATATTATTATTAATCATATCTTTGAGTGTAAAAAAATATATACAGTGTGTCCCGTTTTTCAGGTCAATGCTTCTGGAAATGTGAGGAGGCTGTGGACTTTCCACAAGCCAATTTTTTTACAAATAAATAAAATTAAAAAAATGCCTGGTCTACTACAATTTTTTAAAAGGGGCGTTTTCCAGAAAGTGGTATCTGGCATTTTTTTTATCAAAAAGATGTTACCGGGCTATTCAACACCCATTAAAGTACCCATATACCAAATTTGAACAACAGTTGTCTATTGAGTGTTTTTTTATGTGGTGCAAAACTGAAAAATTAGACAGCCAAAAATTATAATAAGCAGGTCAAAGATTGCCATGAAAGTGAAAACAAGTACCAATCGGACAAAGAAAAATACCGACACCACGCACCCAGGATATAGGATTTTGGTTCCTTCTCGAATTGGTTGCAACCAATTTTTTTCGATAGTATTTGACCTGATAAGTTCTCACGGACACAACGCCCAAAAAAGCCTCCTAGAAGGTCTGGCAGTCGCCGAGAGTTTGGATATACGAAAGATATGTTATTTCGCACAAGCTGTATCACCATACTTGATTATGGTAAACAAGGGTATTTAGGGGCGCTGATTACAAATCCAAGGTCAGCTAACCTCCATCATGTCATATTCAAGGTCAAATTGTGAAAAAACCATTCGAAAAATGTGAAACAGTAGGTACAGGGTGATTCACCATATTTTGACCCCCCCTTTAACTTTTTTCTTTTAAGAGTTATAAAAAAAAAACTAGTATTTGATGAATTTTAAGGGTAGTCTTTCACATAAAATTTGTATCTAGGACGTTTTGTTAAAAAGATAAGGGTGTCAAACTAATTTAAAAACTAGTAAGTAAAATAATTGGAAATTGGGCACAAGTATTTATATAAACATAGTTCAAAACCTGCGGCCTTTTTCTAAAATTTATATGCTCCAGTGGTGGAGATACAGTTATCCATGGCATTTTTTTCGAAATAAAAAAGTAGGCCACTGCTTTACAGCAACAATCATATTTTCAGATTCGTCTCTCTGTTTCTATAAATTAACTACTCTTTTATGTTACTCAAAAAAGCCTGATTTTCGAGCAAAACTTAAAAAACGAACTGAAAACACTTACTTAATAATTTTATTTGAGTAAATGCTCAAAAATGTCTCCATTTCCACGAACACAGGCGCAACATATTTTTAGTAATGAAAACGTAATTTGTTCTTTCTTCTAACTGCTCAAGTATATTAATTTGTTCACTGTATATCCTGCCGTTTAACATCACCCCACAAAAAAGTATCCAGTGGGTTGAGATCCGGTGTTTTCAGTTAGTTTTTTTCTCAATAATCAGGCTTTTTTCGAAAAACAAGAGGGTAATAATTTATAGAAAATTGAGAGACGAATCCGAAAATATTATGATCGTTACCGTAAAGCAGTGGCGTTATTTTATTTAGAAAAATATGTCCCCGATACCCTCTATCTTAATTACTTTCCGTCGACTGTGAGAAAGAATTTTATTGTTTTAGAAAAACCATTCTTTGACTATAATTTTGGCGGCATTCCATAGCGGGCCTATGGCGCCATCACAATCAAATCTGCCTCCTACTTCTGGTAAAAAGTACAATTTTTGATAAAAAAGAGGCAATCATTTGTCAATAAATAATGTTAAATCATCTTATCAAAAACCCCTATATGTACTTCTCTGGAATAGAATGAAAATTGTTGGAATTACGTTGTGTGCCATTTGAAAAAATCGTATTTGGACAAGAAACTTTTAAGGTTTTGAGACATGTGCTATACTAATGTACTTTCTTTTCAAAATGCTTGTAATTGAACACAAAACGACATTTGTTAATAGTATTTATAAATTATAGAAGTTAGAAATCAAATGGTAAGACACTAGTTGTTTTGGAGCAATCCTACACACTTGGGAAGAGTTTGGAATTTCAAAGAAAAAAAAATTGTAGACAAAACTTCCTTTATTCTAGAAGGTTCAAAGAATCTTTTAAATTAATAAAAAAAATAGACTAAAAATTATACAGTGGTCTCACCTAGTATTGGCATTGACTTTATAAGCTTCATCCAATTAAATGGGCCTTTAAGTCGCAATCTTGGTCACCTTGCGTGAATTTTTGGTGCAAGTTAGTTTGAGGTACAGGAACCTTCATAAATGTTTATAAGCGATGTGTCCGTAGAGCTCAGGCAACCAATAATGCAGGCATTTGTGAGGAAAAATTCCTATATCCTGGCGTCACCAATATTAATAATTCGTTTGCAATGAACAATGACAAACTGATGCGTCTACGCTCGAGATAATACGATCGCTGATTGGTTGAATAGAATCTTGTGAAAAATTATACCAATCACAGCCAGTGAAACAAAATGTTGTTTGAATATAATCTTGACCTTATTGTTTTAATAATAGGGAAAGAAAATTACTGTTCCAAACAAAATTATTGGTCACGTGGCTTGTAATCATTTATGAAGGGTTTCAACCCCCGGCCAGGGATGGAAAAAAAGTAAAGTGATTTTTCAAGATCTTTTCTTTGAAAATATATATTTTATTGTATATTGACTTTCCTTTGGGGGAGAGCCTTTTTACACGTCAATTACATGGAAATTGGTGAAGTATCCCAGAGACAATTAGGACCAATACATTTATAAGTACAAGGGCAAGGGTAGAGAATATTGCAAAACTTTATCAGATGATTCTGCATCGGTAAAGTGGATGCTGTTTTCCTCATCAGAATGATTTTGCCAAACAAACATTTCTTCAGTAGAAAGAGTATTGCTCCATGCCTAAAATAAAAATGAAGTCAAAATATAATGAATCACCTTGTACATATATAAATGAAAATCGTTACCATTTCACTATGCCGGATCCATCCCATTTCCAGTTCATTGTGATGTTTTTCAGCTACTTTATGTGATTTTTTGAGATATTTCATAGCCCCTTTATAGTCGTTGTATTTCGCCATAATATAATAAGCTTGCAAGTGCAATAACCTAAAAAATACAAGTAACTGTGTGACGTTAATTCATTTTGGTAACTTTTTAAATGATCTATCAAAAAGTACCCCAGTGGAGGTAAATCCGGTTACCATGCTAGATATTTACGGCCCACAATCGACTGTGTCAAGCTTTGGCTTTCAGTAAAGTTGGTAGTCAATGGGTTATATTCTTTCCCTTTAGATAAAGCCTGCTTATCCAAAATATAACTCCAGTTTTAGATGTTAGTGGTAATGAAATAAGTAATTCTTAAAGATGATTTTTTTACGGGATCATTTAAAAAGTAAAATTTATGTAAAGACCCCCTAAAAATTCAACTTAATATATAAAAGAATATTAAACAGGCCGATCCTGTGTACTATACCACGTTACGTACAGGGTGTTACAAAAAATGTTGACGCAACCGTTAACCATATATTTTTTGAACGAGGATAGTACATCGTCTGCTAATTTTCATTCAGGCACTTTTTCAAGATATTAGGATGCCAACATTAAAATATAAAATATTTTTATTAATAGCTCCATTGTTTTTTTAAAAATGCAGCTAAAATTAAATTGTAACAAATGTTAAAATGTTCCTCTTCTTCTCAGATCATAATTGTACACAAAGAATCTGTGTTTAACGACTTGTTCTATTTTATTTGTAACACCCTGTATATTAGCTTTTTATCAAGAATGTAATTTCAACGGCAGATTCAAATTAATTTGCGTTATCATCCTCAGTTAGTTTAAATCAACATCAACAGAAGCGGTTTCAAAATTAATGAAAATTGTATTGCCAATGTAAATGTCTATCCCTTCTTTTACCTGGGTTGTAGTACAGGGGCAATAACTGCGGCCTTTTGCATTTTTTGTAATAATGAACAAAAGAATTTATCAGCCTTCTCGGAAGCTCGGATGTTCTTCGTATCCATCTTGTTAACCATATAGATAATTAGGCCCTCCAGAAGGTGCAATGCAGTGATTAGGTTGTTGATATTTTCACCCTTGCCTTTAATGGTGAACTTAAAAATTAAATCTTCCCACATATAAGCCCATTCCCAATTCTCATTTCTTACTTCCCTGGGGGATATTTGTTTCAAATTAAAAACGATTAATTTTAATTTTTCGCATTATAATATAAAAGTAGATACTGTGCTGTATAAACTTTTGTGTCAGGAGACATACCAAATTGTTTACAAATTCAGTGAATTTCTAATCTTATTTAGCTAGTTATACAGATTGCTGTACGACAATTTTAAGGCATAAATAAAATAAGTAAAAATAATAATAAACGAAAATTCAACAGCTGCCAACAAATCAAAAATTTTTTTATTTACCAGAGCCACTTGCAAATTGTTAGTCTCATTTTGCCTGAACAATCTCTGACATCGTGTTGTTCTAGAGATTCGTTTTGAATAAATTGCTTGCATTTTTCCATGGGTTGAGCTATGTATCCGGTCTCCAAATGTATTACCAAGCAAAGGGCAAAATACCACATTTTTTCTAAGAAATATAATTAACATCACATGATGCAGAGTCAGTAACTAACCTCAATGAAAGAAAATATACAGGACGAAACAGTAATGTACTACTATTTCTTCTGCATACTTTGTTTATATATATATATAAAATTTTTACAATGTTATGAATGAATCGTAAAAATTTGAATATAGCTGTTGAAAAAAAATTGGACGCTCATGCAGTTTTTACTTACATATTTGAGGTGTTTTTCGAAATTCATTATTTTTACCTGAATTATCAAGGGCCTGATCGAGTATGTACGACATTTCGTTGAGCATGTTTCCAAATTCTGCAATCTGCTTCTTTAATAGTGTTTGGTAAGCTATCATGTTGAAGCATTGGAAAAGCAATTGAGTGTTTTTAGCTGCGATTGAGATTCTCCATATGGGAAAACTCATCAACATGGATTTCTCCATGTCTCCTCTGCAGAATCTTCACTTACAATGCATGAAACAATTAGATTTTGTTTTAATTTTTTAAATGAGTGCAAAACGTGTTTATTCTATCATACAGTTTCAGAAATTCTTCTGAAGAAGAGAGGGATATGTCTTTCGAAATGTCAAGAATTCTAAACCAACAACATGGCAACCAGACAGGAAATTGGTCAACCAACAAACTAATTAAACATCAGTTTACTATTGTATTGCCTTTGAAGAAGGAAAGTATCAACTTGCCTTTAATACGAGAAAAAAATTCCCTCCTTAGAGAGGGAAAGAAGCATTTTCTGCCCCTGAATAAAGCAGGACAATACCATTTTCTATTGAGGTAGCAAAAACAAGATCCAATAGAGGAAAAAATGAAGTTTTATACAACTTTTGCATGAGTAGGTAACCATTTTCAAGCTTAATGTTAATAATAATTAATCTCAAATTAATCGCAAATGTTTACTAAATAATGTCTGGTTGCCATGTTGTCTTGACTTTTCGACGCTTTCTTCTTCAGAAGAAATAGAAGATATATTGCTATATGTCTCTCGAAATGATCAGAATCTGTTCAACATTGACAATGTCAACTGCTTTGAAGCCTGTAAGTACTATTGAGTTAGGAATCATACCTACTGTAGCCGATTTCCAGATATAACTCAGAAACCGCTTTAAGCTCCTCTAACTCGACTATAGTTCGCTTCCTATGGCATGTCCTTAGTGCGAATACCTCCAGAGCAACCGAGAAATTATGTTGCTTTGTTATGGTAACGAGGCGAATCATAGATGCATATGCCAAACATATTACTTCAAAATCAGACTCAGTTTGTATGGCTTTGTTTAAGCTCCAAATGGCAGCCAGTTCGGCTTCATCCCATTTGTCTTTACCCTGCAAAAGAAAAGCGGCAATAGGTTCAAAATGCAGTGTATGCAATGGTCGTTTCAATATGAACTTTTTCGAGTCATATAAGTTTTGCAGACACCCTGTACAGTAATTCATACAACAAAAAATCTATATCTTGGGCAAATCTTGAAGTAAACATAATTTATTCTTACTAAGAAATAAGTGCAGAGCATGTGTAGGCATTCGGAAACGTTGTTGCAATATTCTGCTAGATCTTCGTCGAATCTTCTTCTAGCAACAACATTTGAAAATATGTAGAGTTTGATCTTCTGTCTCAATTTGAGACGGCTTTTTAATATGTATTTTCCTAGGTGTGTCTTGGGAAAACTTATTCCTAAAGAAACAGCGGTCGTTAAAAAATTAATTAATTCATGATGTAAGAAGTTAGACTGCCATTACTTCAGCATGAGATAGAGTAATAATAAATGAACAAAAAAGTTGTATATTACAGGGGCGTAAGATTAACAGTTTTCAAAATACAGCGAGTGTTAATATTGGGGAGTTTCATCACAACGTGACAACAGCGCTTAACCTAATGTTACAAAGCTTATGCACACCACGTGTGCACGCGGCAGACTTGTCCTACGGAATAACAAAAATGTAAACCATTATTGTGAATAATCGGTCGATAGCCGCACGGTTTAAGGCGTCAGTACTTAAATCGTGTGCAAATTTCTGCCCGGGTTCGATTTTGTAGTATGAAGATGGTGTTGTACTTAAATTTTAGCTCGAATTTTAGTAATTACGAATCTCTTAAAACAGGAACGTTTATTCAAATTATGAATTTGAAAAATATGCAATTAAAGTGCCCAAACATTCACGTCGTCCAAATAATCATACGTATTAAAAATAATTTAGGTACCGACTTACCAAAAAGCAAAATTCAGTAATTTTTTAAATGCACAAGTACAAAACAAACTACAACATATTTTGCCAAAATGGCCACCGCCATTTTCGATGCACGCACCTTCAAATCCAATTTTCGGGCACTCGATGCAAATACCCGGATTTATCGTTATTTGATGGGCAGCGGCAAAAATTCGTCTCGCAAGTCTTCGACTGTCGAATTCTAGATACCACCTGAATTGCGTATTGTTGGACACCTTAGTACCTCGTGTTAACCGCCGCGCCGTTGTCACACTGCTCGATACGAATTTTATCGCATTTTAAATTTATTACAACCATAATTATTCTTTAGAGTTAAGCATAAAGAAGTTCAAAAAAGTGATAAACATTGTATTTTATGGTATTGTATGCACACAGTTATGTCAATACTCCTTAATTAATCGAACTTTTGTACATCAAGTTGGAGATTTTGATATTTTTTTTCTCGGAAATGGTTGAGTTTAGGATCTACGTCATATAAGAGTTTTTTTGTTTATTTTAATGTATTCTATCGTCTGTTAAAATTAAGGCAGTCAAACTTCTAACACCCTGTATATCATCTAGTTGCATGAACATGTAACAAAATAATATTTGACCCAGAGCACCCTTGTCAAATTTTAGTACATAATTTTTTACATATACGGGGTGTCTTAATGCATCTTCCGAACCAAGTGCCATATAGTGGTGGTGTCAAATAAAACAATATTATTTTTTTTGAGAGACGATTTTTCATAAATCATATTAGAGGCTTCCTTTTAAGAAAAATCCGATAGCGGAGTTCAATTTGGCATTCTTTAAAATCTCCGTATCTCAAGTATACAAAATTTTGTAAAAATAATAATAAAACCTGAGGTAAGAAAGTTTCAAAGGTTGGTGAATTAAGCAATGTTTTCGGAAATTCTTCTTCTTGGTTCTGTAGATACATAAGGACAATCTGTATATACAGAGGTGTAAAATCAAAGTCACGTGCGAAGGGGATATATATAAAAAAATACTTTTTTTCGAAAACTTTAAACTTTTCCTTCTTGTTTGCTTTAAAAACTGTTTACCTATTTTTTAACATCCTTTAACAACAAAAAATAATCAATGAAGTCATATAACACACTAAAGTTTGATTTTGGTGCTCCAGATTAAATCTGAACAATTGTATTGTACTTCAGTTTTGAAGTGACAACATTGAAGTTTATGAAGTACCATTTCAAACTAATTTTTTTTCTTTCAGATTTAAGTGAGTTATACCATAACAATGTAACGCTTCCATGAGATAATCGTATGCTTCATCGTCTTCTAAACTCATTCTAGCCCGACCCATGAGGGAGAAAAGCTTTCCTCTTTTGAGAGAAACCATCCATTCTAGTTCAATTTGTTCTTTCATTGGTCCCTAGAATACAAAAAATTGTTAACTCCTTTCTTTGTTTGATGTGCAATTCGATCAAACATTGTTGTCAATAAATATGTATGTAGTTAATTTATTTTTTAAATTATGTAGGATATTCTGAAACGAAACTACGTGACTGAAAGTTAGCTTCTTGGGGTTAAAATAAAACGATTTAGACCATGGTATAACTGTGTTCCTTTGAAATAAAGCCAAGGATCTTCAGAAAATGTGTTTATTAATTGGGAATAAAATTGTGATAATTTTAGACCATGTAAAATGTTAGTGATTTTCCAAATAATCGCGTCCAAAAAAAATTGTAGCAGGCCATGGATTACCAACTAAATCGACGTAGGTATAGTACGTACGATATTTGTCGAGATAGAAGTCTAAGAAAAGAATAGGCCAATAAAGTTCTGTTATCAGTACTACTGTAACAATTTACCGCGGCAGGGGTGTGCCTTGAAAATTTCCGACAGGGGCGTGATTTATTTGTTTTTACAATAATGATTTCTCTTTATGCAAGGTGACAGGTAGTTTGATATATATTTTTTAATTTAATAAATGAAAATTGCAGAAATTGTAGTCAAAACTAAAAACATACATATTTCTCAGTGTCAACTACAAAACTTATTTTATTCATGCTGTCACAGCGTAAATATCTACTATAAACCCAGTATATTGTTACTTACAAAAGTGTGTTATTAATACTATTTCTTACGTCTAACAGTTTCAAAGCTTCTTCTAGAAGTCTAATGGCTTGGGGTGCATTATTGTTTATTATACACACATATGAGTATTCTATGGTCGCTGCCATGATTTTTTCAACAAGACCTAAAATAATTCATTGCAGAGATAAATATGTAGCAACTAGTAATCGTTTGCAATAAAAATCAGATTTATAAGGGGTGATCTCACTTTTTATTTATCCACAACCGACATTATTATCATGTTAAAAAAAGTAAGTATCTGAACATTTCCCACACAGCACAATGACATTCGTAGGATGTACTGAGGATAACTTCTCAGGATGTATAGGATATCCTCGGATAGGTACACCATCACCTCAGGATGTACCAGGGATATCCAAATGGAACGTCCCGGGATTTGCTCGTAACGTCCTGAGGACATCCGCCTGACTATCTGCAGGAGATTATCAGGTTATCAGTGATCAAATGAGGACGTCCTAGGATTTACTGTGTATGTCCTCAAGACATCAGCCGGGCTATTATCAGGTTATCAGTGGATCAAATGAGGACAACGTAGGCTTTACTGTTGATGTCCTCAGGACATTAGCTGGGCTATATACAGCACATTTTTAGTACTTATTGGGCTAATAAAAAAAATTACAGGGTGGTATTAAATATTTCTATAGATCAAATACGTACCTAATTTCCAAAACATTTGCTTGCCATTTCCACTCCATCTA